GGAGATAAGTGGTTTGGAAGATTGGGGGGGGGGGGGGGGGGGGGGGGGGGTGGAAAAAAAACGTGGGAGCAAAACGCACCCCATTTCTCAATATGCTCGATATCCTTGGCCGTGTACTTGAGCTCGTCCCGGGTGTCCTGCTTGTTGGAGTTAAGGAAGGTGGTCGTCGGCGAGGTACCGGGTTCCAGTGGGGCGGACCAGGAGCCTGTTTGATTTTTCCGGGTGCTTTAGTATCTCCTCCTGAGCGTCAGGGACGCATACAGGAAGGGCTGCTTACCGTGCTGGATCCCCGCGGTGAGGTGGTTGGGCCCCGCGTAGGCCTTGGTGGTGGCCAGGTCGAGGTCGAAGGCGCGCGCCGGCGAGTCGTACGGGAAGTGCGGGTGCATGCCCGTGACCTCGCCGGCGTAGGCGTGCATGCGGCGCGCGGTCTCGCGGGACTTGATGTAGCCCCAGACCATGGGGGCCATGTCGCGTTTGTCGTTCATGAAGCCGGCGTCGAAGTCGGGGCTTTCGTAGGGGTCCGCGGACTGGATGTGCGTGAAGCCCCGGGAGAAGGGGTATTCCTGGTCCCAGGAGAGTGAGCATGATAGGATTGGTGGCGGCTGGATGTACTGGATGGGTAGGTAGGGCAGTTGACTTACCAGGAAGTGGAACATGGTGAAGAATTTCCCAGGGGGCATGAGCATGTGGTCGCCGAACCAGCTGAAGGGGATCGTTAGACAGGGAGTCAAAAAGAGATTGAGGAAGGGGGAAACTCACCCAGCGATGACGGAGTAATGCATCACAGGCTTATCGGGCTTGTTCTTGAAGTAGCTCTCCCAGCCCTTGTAGAAGTCATTGGTCGGCCAGGTCTTCATCTCCTCCAGTTCCTTGGGGGTGGGCCGAATCTTCACGCCGGCTTCGATGCCGTTCGTCGCCAGCGGGCCGGTGCCTTTGATGTTCCATTCGTCGAAGACTCTCTTCTGGACTTCGGGGTCTCCGCGGACGAAATCATCGAAGGACTCGACGTCCGGCTTGGCTCGGTAGACGGAGAAGGTTAGGTAGTGGTCTTGGAAGTTGCGGCCAACACCCGGTAGGTTCACCAGGGGCTCGACGCCAGCCCGGCGAAGCTTCTCGGGGTCTCCGACGCCCGATCGCTGGAGAATGAGCGGGGAGCTGAGGGTGCCACCGCAGACGATTATCTGCTTGCGGGCCTTGAAGACCCTCCGCGGTGGGTTGTGGCCTGCCAACGGCTTGGTTGGGACCGTTGCGACTCCAACTGCGCGGCCGTTCTCGATGATGACCTTGTCAATCTTGGTGTTGCATTTGAGGTGTAGGTTCGAGTATTGGGATCGGGTGCTGTGGACGTATGCGTGGGCAGAGTCACTGCGCCGTCCTGGTGAAGATTGCCATTAGCATCGGTGTAATGAACCATGGTGGGAAACAAAACTCGTACCAGTATCACGATTGATCCATTTCAACCAGTGTTCGGCTCCGTGGCTAAGCAACCAAAGTTAGCATGAGATGGTGATATACAGTGGGAGTTACTGACGCGGTCTTCAGATCCTGCAAGTCATCGGTGATCGGAATGTCCTGCGATTCGGCTGCTCGGAGGAAGTCCTGCATGATCGGGTAGGTGTAATTTCCGAACGAGACCTTGATGGGCCCTTCGAAGCCATGAAGGTCGCGGTTGTTGCACGCACGTTGGTAGGTCTCGTGCTTTCTCATCAAGGGCAGGAGTTCGTCAGTCTTCCAGCCGGCAGATTCCCAGTCGTCGTAGTCGGAAGCAGATGCACGGGTGTACATCTAGGATGGTCATCAGCTATGCCAGATATCAACGTTACCAGTAAGGTCTGCATACCATGAAATTGATGGAGCTACCACCTCCAAGAACATGTGCACATGGCACGACGGCGCGACGTCCATCGAGCCATTCCGAGGGCCGGGAATAGTAGAACGAGGCTGTCTTGGAGTCCAGCTTCATGTTTCGGGGATAAATCCCCGGGCGGTAGACCCTGCGACACGGTTGGTGGTGCTCTGACCACAAAGAGTGTGAGGTGAGGACTTACCATGGGTTGTTCAGATTGTCCTCGCCGGCTTCGATCAGCAGGACTTGAAGATTGTGGTCAAGGTTGGCGAGGCGACCGGCCACCACACACCCAGTGCTTCCACCGCCACAGACGATAATATCGTATTCATCGGGGATGGTCATGGCTGCGATGCAAAGCGGTGCTTTCTGAACAGTATATAATGCTCCCCGGGCATGGAACAGAAATGAATGTGAATCCTTGACGGCCATGGATGGCCAACGAGTTTATATAGCCCACTTCCGGCCTACAACTGGAATATATCAAGGCATCATGACCAGACACGACAGGCAAGAGTTTCACAACAGACAAAGTCTGTCTCCGCACGAATCGTCCATGACCCCGCATACGACTCCTTGACCCTCCATGACCTCCATGATCAAGACAGGCATTGACCTCCTGCGGCCAATCAGTATGCCGCCTGAGTCGGGGTACTGCTATAGTAGACGATGGTTATCAGCCTGGATGACTCTTGAATGACTTATTTGAGAGAGAAAGAGAAAGCTGGGGTATGTAGTTGGAAACAAAGAGCTTCCCCGCATATAAAGAGGGGGCGATGCATTCATCATGCAGTAAGTGGCCCAGGGATACGATAAGGCAAGGGTAATAGTATCCAGGGAGTAATAGTATGGAACATCATGAAATCAGAATGCGGCGGCACCCGTCATACTTATATTATCTAATACGATAGTCCATGGAAAACCGTCTTTGTCTGCTTCGATGAGAACCAACGCAACCGGAAGGCAGGAGAGCAGGGCAAGCTTATGACTGGTAATCACTACCTGGACAATGCCGCGACCAGCAAGTTTCCATTGCAATCGCAATGAAGTTGAACAAACAGCTAGACAGTCGTGGGAGGTATGGATGCAGTAGCCGACGATGTGCCGGAAGGATTGGCACGAAGGATTTTGCGGGGGAGCAGTGGACGGGAAAATATAAGTAGCAATCCCTGGCAATAGTGGGGGGGTTTTATGCGGAGCTCGTGTCGTGGGTTGGGATTGAAGTTCCAGACACCGGGAGTGTTCGAGGTGGTGGAGGTGAGGCACTGTGCAGTCACTGCAGTGTACAGTACAGTAAGTACAGTAAGAACTGTAGTGCGGGGATCGCCAGAACCCAGAGCTTTTCCCCCACCTCCAGCTGCAATGCATTGCCACCGTCAGTTGCGCGGCGCCAATAAACCATTTCCCCCCAATGAACCCCCCGGACTTAGAGCCCTGCTATTATGGTACAGGATCCGCTCTGTTTGTGAGATATGGCCTTTGTCCTCCTTCTTTTCTCATTCAAGGCTGAGTATGCTCCGATGCACGGGAGCGGAGAATCCGTCTGGAGGCCCACCACCATTCGAGACATCAAGCAGCACCGAAGAAAAAAACAAAAGTACTTTTCCCGGTCCATCCGGCCGAATCAGTGCGCTGCGATACCCCCCTCCCCCGGCCGTCTGCTCTTTTCCAAGTTGATCTAAAATCCTTGAAGGACGAGGGCCATTACCGCGCGTGCTGCTGCGCCAGCTGGCGTCTCTGGTCCAAGATTTGCATGCGCAGACCCTCTGCGGCCAACTCCACATCGAGGATCGCGCCCACCCCGCGTTTCCAAGTCTCCTCCAATCCTTCCAGCTCGGCCTGATTGGCTTCCTGGGCCCTCTTCCTCTCCTTGTTGACCGACTCCGCAGCCTCTTTGGTCTCGGCCAGTTCCTTCTCCAGGCCGTGGAGGATCTCCTCCAGCTGCGAGTTGCCAATCAGCCACGCGTTCTTCCCGTTCTCCTCCAGTAGCGCCAGGTTGTCGTGCCGCATGGACAGGTGGGAACTGGCCGTGTAGGCCTTCTGCAGTGTCCGGCGCCACTCCTCGAGGTCGGGGGATCCGTCCGATGCCCTGGCGGGCGGTTCGGGGGCCTCGTAGCGTGATAGGTCAATTCCACCAGTCAAAGGCAATCCGGACGCCTTGCGATCCACCTCCTGCTGCATGAGGGGGGAGAACTGGGGTCCGGGGAAAGCGGGGATGGACTGGTGGATGGTGGTCTGGAAGTCGCCCGGGAGCTCTGCGGCAATGAGCCTCTCCGCCGCTTCTCTGGCTGAAGTTGAGGGCTCTGCCTCGATATCTGTGAGGAAGATTCACGCGTGTCAGAAGGAGAATTCTCTGGAGCTCCCGGGGGGGGCAACAACTCACATGGCAGGGAGTCGTGCGATTCGTTGATGAGAGGCATTTCTGATGCTTGTGTCTAATCTCTTATGAAGGATGTCAAATACGCCCTGAATGGGACTTTGGCAGGTGTAAGTAAGGATGAATGCGATAATCAAATGTCTCCAAGGTGTACTTGATGGACGACTTGCCGGAGCTTTTGGCCAAGCCAAGCACAAGGGCGGTAGGAATACCGAGATGACTCAGCCGATTTCTGCCCAGGCCCACCGCTAAGTGTGGGGGGGAGCACAAAGGTGCGTGTCCTAAGCGTTTCCCCGAACTAACAATATACTCACTCTTGTTGCGGATATCTTCCTTGTGGATTTCTCTGTTTTCGTGTTTGAGCTCTTAGGCGGGCACGCGGAAGGATGTCTCATCGAGATAGAGGCAGAGGGTCAGACGCTTAGTCTATACTTGTCTTTTGTATTCACAATACAGGATATTGACCATCAACTGATATTAGTATCCTGCAGATGAGACAGTACATCTACCCTCTAACAGTCATATAGCTTCCACCGGCCTTGATGCGTTCAAGCTGCCGGTCTGTGTGTGGCAGACTCTCTTTCAACAAGGCAAATTTCATGAGTGCGTCTAAAGCAGAGTACAATTGCATATGGGCCCGACCGCAAGATCGCCTTTCTTTGTCTATCCCAGCAAAAAGAATGTCTACTCTCATTCCCGTCCTTGCTCGCTACACCTGTTTTGTTGCACGCGGTAGCTGAGCAGGAAACCTCGGCGCAGTCGCTCTCAACGCGTACCCTACATGAGTACTCTCATGTGGCCCACTAGTCGCTTATCAAAAGCTTCTCCATAATATACGGCTAGACCAAGGACCCGTTCTGGTGGGAGGTGGTCCTTCTCGAATCTCACGGTGGCTTGACATTCGACCACCAGTGGTATAGGTGTTAAGTTGGTCGGCATTCGGGAAGTTTTGCTTTCAATTGTGCCAACAACCAGTCCTGCTATTGTATTAATTCAGCCTAAGATCGCAGGATATGTTCTGGTCATGAGTTAACTTACCATCAACTTGGTTTAGGCTTACTGGCGTGTTGCTTGCTATAATCATAATGCGTGCATCTCCATCGTGGGTGCGTGGCACATCCATAAAAACCTCCTTGTAGGAGCCATCATTGAACGACGAATTCTGCCCCAGGTCCACCACGTCAGCAGCAGGTGAAAAGGCTAAGCGCGCGTCTTACCTGGTTGAAAATCGTCGCAAGTTGGTTCTGGCCCTCACAGGCTAGATAGTAGTTTTCCTAAAATTTATGATCTGAGTTCGCTACCCCACGGATACCGCACATTGTGCCACCAAGGGAGACCATTTGCACCCGAAGATCTCTATGAACTCTCGGTAAGCTTCAGAGAACTGTGAGAAGAGGGTATGTTGCAATGGGGGTAGATAGAAGTCTTACACATCTATTGGCAGGTAGACCATGATATTGAGCCCGGTTTCAACCATATTTTGAATCATGCCCGAGATTTCAGGGGACTGGGTCAGCCCCCCAACCAAAAGCAGCTTCTGTCAAGCATATTTAGCCATTCGATCTAGCCTCGAATGCTCTCAGAGGATTGGGTACTTTAATCACATCTCGACCCACGTATATAGCTGCGCAATCCACCTGCTGTCGAATGTAGCCGACAATTTTTTTGGCAAGAACACTCTTCGGTTTTTTCCCGGGGCAGATCTAGATGATTCGGATCAATAACTGATGCCGGGCCAGCTGGAAAAGTCTTCAAGGCCCATTCGGAGAACGGGCTATCAATGAATGCGACTCTACTCCTTGAGCGGGTCATTATCTGACGCTCCTGTAATTTATCATAAATTTGAGACTGAAGCTGAACACCTCCCAAGGCTTCACCTTGTAAGAAATTAGCCAGGATCACATTTCCCCAGGGTCTTGCTTACTGGTGTACGCGGTTAACCTTTGGTACCCAAAGGAAGGGGGTGGTTGGTCGACTAAAAAGGCAGTCAAGTCCTTGCTTGTCGCCTTAGTAGAGCGAACACAATCTATTTGATTCACACTGGAAAGAGCCTCTTACAATCGTACTTGCGCCGCAATCACAGACAATCACACCATCATACAACTGTTATAGAAAGCCTCGGTCATTAAACTGGCGGCGAAAGGGAAAGCTAGGCAGCATGGTCTAGTTACCTCGCTGAACAGTCTCATGTGGATTCCTCTTTCAGTGGCTGCATACATGGCAACCGCCTCGGCCTCGGTGGTGAAGCAGACTGTTGCGTTTCGATGTTCAAAGCCTGCCAACTGAATGGCTTTCCTCATCATCATGCGGGTGTGCTCCGACCAAGTAGCCGGAACGGTAAAAGTGTACACTCGGGGGAGGTTTTTGAGGTTAAGAATACATTCCAGCTCGGCCCGGAGGTGATGTAACAGCACCCGAAGGAAGTCGGCTACCAGAATGTAGGGATTGTCTCGCTGCCGTTGAGGCAGTCCGTTCCGTACCATCCGGACAAGGTCCTGGATCGGTGTGTCACCTGAGTCATCTATTTTACATGATTCATGCAGTAGATGCTTTAGCCAGTAGATACAGTTCGAACACCTCTGGGCGGCTTTGCCAATATAGCATTTGTCATCCGAGATATAAGCAATTGTTGACGGAATGATAGGACTCTCGTGAAGCCAGAGACGGTGAGGACTCAAGTGAGCGGAGCTAGACTCTTGATATGAAACCACTGTGTAGTAAGTGAAGATGTGAGTGACGAACACATTTGGACGGGCGGGAAGGAAGATTGATACCTGTCTTGCTGGATCCAAAATCGATTCCCACGGCCAGTCTTGCCGCTTCCATGGTTCTCTGGGTAAGCCACAGCACGATAGACAATGTAGAGGTCGAAAGATACGGGGTAATCTTGCAGTGAGTTGGTTGAGCGGGTTGGCGACGTAAAACTGAGAAGTTGGGATATCAATCGCAGTCTTGGTCCGGCTCTGAGATAAAGAAAATGCTAGCAGATTTTGGGGGAGGGGAATGAGAGAGGAGGGATAAGGGGGTTATTGTTGTTGTGGTGGTGGTGGTGGTGGTGGTGGTGGTGGTTGTTTGCTGTGCGTTTGCAGGCTTTGTGAAACAAGACAAAGAGAAAGACCAAGTCCCCCCGAGGATGAGAAATTGACGCCCACAGGATATAGAAAGTTGAATGCTCACGGTGAAACTCACCTCTTTATCTTTTTTTCTATCTCTGTCCCTTTCCTCATACTCAACTTTCCATTTTCATTGAGTTGAAGCATCATGGTGAACACACGAAGCCAGAAGACAAAAGGAGAAGCACAGAAGGTCAGTCCCTGCTCCGCCCACCAAGATACCATTACCATCTTCATCATCATCATCATCATCATCATCATCATCATCATCATCATCATCATCATGTGTCTGATTTTCATATAGGGACGCAGGGCAGCCGACGGCAGTAATCAGCCATCCAGAAAGCCTTCAGTACACCTGACAGCTGAGGAGTACGAGGCCTATCAGAGCCATTGTAACCGCATGTCAATCACTCGGACTGGATATGCGCCCGACCCAGATACCGTAATACGCAATTATGATGATCTCAATACTAAGGTCAAAACATGGACTGAGAAATATATCTGCGAAGACATGCCCTCCCTTTCCGAGAACCAGAAACAGAAGATCATTCAAGGTCTAGATACATTCTGTATTCAAGAACCTTGGGATACCATCCAAGCCTTACTCTCTCCCGAATCCCGTGATCAATTTCACCTATACTTGTGTGAAGCCATGGTCAATAAATTGATCTTCACCCAATTTCTCGAAAGGCCATTCTGGTTCCTGGATGGGAAACTGGATGAAAATGATGAGACTGGAGATCCGTCGTTCGCTGAGCGACTCCACTATCTGTATCAAAGATACCACGAAGGTAAGTTGTTCCGCCCGTTCTCTCTCTTCGACTGATGCTGGATGGATTTCTGACAAGGGCGCTTGCCATCCTTGGTCCTTTTAGCAAGTCCTGTGAACGCAATTTGGTGGAGGATGGTCACCCTCGGCCTGGCCAACCTGAAGGAAGGCTTGTCGCCCAGGGACCCTCGTGACAACCCTCCTTATGTTTTTAGGGATGAAAATCGAAAGCGACAGGCGAACATAGCAGAGCATCTGGCGGATCATCTTCTAGAGGACAGCCTGTTTCAGCTATTTCTCGAAGAGTTGGCCGGTGCGGAAGAGGATACGAGGCGTCGTAGGCTGATCGGGGTTCTCCAAGCCGGTGCGCAGTATCTCACAGCGCATGAGTTGGCATTGGGAGGACAAGTGAGGGTTCATCAGCTGCCCGAGTTGAAGCAGTTTGACCCAGCTACAGGAATTATGTTGGGTCGGGTCCATCAAAAGGAGCGGAAGAATACTCCGCCGTTGATTCCCAAGCCTCACGGCCGGGTGATCCTCGTTCTACGACCTGGGGTATACCGATATGAACTTCCCAACCGATTCGTGCCGTACGATCGTCACATCAGTGCTGTTGAGTTGCCGGGGAATACTAACTCCTACCTGGTTTGCAAAGCCGAGGTTATGGTGGAAGCAGTCAAGGCCAGCAACTCATCTGACGCAAGTCAGCCCGATCCCGAGGATGAGGATATCTCCTTCCAACGCTATTGGGGCTAAAGCTAAGAACTCTCAATTCCTCCCGGCGCTCTGGTCGGTCTATCCATTCGCTCTGGCGGGTTTTGCTTTCGAAAATCTTTCTTCTATATCATTCCTCGTTCTTCCGGATCGAGAGCTTTATGCGTGCGAGAGTATTTCTATCGCGGTGTCTAAAAACAATCATGTCAATCGCCCAACCACTTTCCGTAATTCGTGGCGGTAAAACTCTCCTGTAGCCTCCTAGCAACATCAAAGCTAGTTCATGGGCCTTTCGCTGGCGCCTTGAGCGTCCAGCTGTTCGTGCATATTCCGACGGGATTCGCTCGGCCCCACTTATGGGTGGTTGGAAGGCATCCAGGTTGGTAGTTCACTGTGCTGCTGAATGTACTGGTGTAGGATGTGAAGACTGGCGCTGGTGGAAGAGTTGAGGTCCATTGGGAGGGTCAATAGAGTAGGCTGTTGTAGTGAAAGCCAGTCCGTCCGAAGTTCGCAGTCCGCTATCCATCCCCATGATAGACAATGTGATGGCTACCACTCTGGCTCCGGCTCCTCATCGGAGGAGGCCAAGGCCAGTACCAGCCTGGCAGCCTCTATCCCCCGGAGATCCCATCGCCGCGGGGCCGTGCGGTCCATCCATTCGGACCAGTCCCCCCAAGCAGCCGACCGGAGGATCTGCGCGTACTCCCAATAATCCGGATACCAGCCCGCGTGCTCCCAGTCCAGAATCCCCGTGATCCGGTTGTTCGCATCGACCATGATGTTGCGGGGCGCGATGTCCGCGTGGGTGAAGACGGTGCGCTCGGATCGGGGCAGCATCCCTAACAGATCATCGGCTGTTGCGTACTGATAGCCGCCGAAGTGCCGGTAGCGCTCACAGATGCGGGCCCGCAGCTCGGCATCACTCCGCAGGGCGCGAGGAGGGTCCTGTAGATCTTCGAAGAAGGTGTCGCGGGGAACGGAGCCGTCGACGCCGCACCGGACAATGTCTTCAAGCTCCGGTGGCCGCGGAATCGCCTGGATCTCCGCGATCAGCTGCCACGTTTGCCGGCAGACGGACTCCTTGCCCCGTGCGTCCAGCGTGTCCCATCTTCCGTCGAGCGAGGTTCCGGGTACGATCGTCATCTCGATATTGCCGTAGCCGGCACTGCATGCGGTGTGGATCACGTGGGGAACCGGGACGGAGGTATGTTGAGACACGAGTCGCATCGCCTCGACCTCGGCAGGTCCCACGTTGAAGCCGGCCTTGGAGACATACGACAAGTCGTGTAGGAGGACCGTGTTGCCCCAGATGACCTTGCTCAGAACTGTAAAGATCTCCTGGTCGGGTCTGAGGGCCAAGATATCTGCCACTGAGGGGGTTGAGCATGGTGATATAGTTCTTCCAGTCCGCTTGTAATGTTGTCCAACCTGAATGTTCTGCATGCTTGAAGCCTAGCTAAGCCCAAGGTGCTAGGAGTAATGATGTGACTTTCAAACCAATTAAAGCAGGGTACTTGATGAGGCCAGGCTTGGATTGACGGTGAGATTGACTCAAGCGATCACGCTGTCTGTGGGAGCATCGATATCCATAAAGCCCGCAGATGTGAGCCTGAGTGCTTTGCTTTTGCATCTCTTCACCTTCACCTGTCTTTGATATCTTTGTCTTCAATGATCTTGTGTTTATTTCGTGTACCGAGCTTGGATAACTCAGCACCTTGGGTCCGAATGGATCCCGGCCTTACTCATTGTTCATCAGCCTTCTCTCACTGATGTACTCAATCCGAACATTTACTAGGCCCGATATCGGTACCTGTTTCTACGCATTATTCAAACAAGGCTAGAATCTACACCTGTCACCAGGATCAGACTGAAAGAGAGAGAGAGAAGAGAGAGAAAGTAAAAGTATGCCAGATCAATAGTCGTCACTTCCAGAATATCCCAAGGAAGAGCCATGCATGCAGCTCCTCCTCTCTACCGCTCAAAAATCTGCATCAGCTGACTGTTTTGTGAGCAACAGGCTTCGATAGTGAAGCGCCTGACAAGGACCTTTCCCCGAGCCCCTAGTGGTAGGTCATCTAGACGAGACTCTGTCCTTGCCCGAAACTCGCGATGGCGAGAGCCATGCTGCTACCGGTTAAATCGTCATCAGATCCGGGTCCTCCACTTTCAACGGTTTGGCTTATTTCAACCTTATACTCATCCAAGAGGTTTTTGAGGTAGTGCTCCGGAACTTTGCTATATTGCAGAAATACCAAGTTGTACGCGGGCATCTGATAAGTCTCGTTTCCGTCTTCCTGGATCTGACGTCGATGGTCAGGCCTCAACCCTAGTGATCTGTCCCCGGTAGCAGTATATGAAAGGAGAATCACCATGCTTTAGGCAGATGTGCTAACGAGCATAGGTCAACATTTAGAAGTAGTAGGATGCTGGGATGGCATGAACACCTTTCCCACTAAGCTGGAGTCAAGGCCCATTCACAGACTGTGCTATCACCACAAACCTTTACTAGCCAGGGCATCAACACCCATTCGCAGCAACGGTGGAGGCGCTCCGTCACGCGCAGAGGTGCAGTGCATGCAGCATGTGTTTCACCCTGGAAACGGAAGTACAAAGGAACATTGCGAGGTTGGAGGTCAGGGATTGCAGGATACTGTCGAGAAGCCTGCTGGTCTTTTGTGAATTGGATTGATGGTGTGAATAATTATGTATATTGATTCTTTCTTTTCCAATCTTGTTGATAATATACATAATTCAGTCAATATATCTGAACATAAGCTACTACCATGTACAGGGAAATATCGATTGATGAACATTACCGCCCGGGTTGATCAATGACCTGGGGAAAAGAAAGGAGGAACATGTATAATACAAAGAGATTGTGCGGCCAAGGATGTATGAACCCGACCGAGGATGCGCCAGATCATAAGAGTTGAGCAGGGGAATCGAAAATTATAAGTGGTATCAAGAGAACTCGAGGTTTCCCCGTGATGTGCCAGATTCACTGGAAGATCACCAGGCTCATCTTGACCGATGAGACAGAGGAAGCAATGAAAAAAAAAAAAAAGAAAAAAAAGAATATCGTCCGCCCGTAAAGGTCCGTAAACGCCGTTTCTGCGTAGGTGCATGCTCCTATCATATGCTGTTCTGTTTTTGATATCAACAATCCCGGAACAACAAGGAAAATTAAAATAGTCGCTTGACATCGACAATCTCGACATTTCCCGGGCGGTCTCGTTCCATGTGGAACCACCATTCTCGTCCACTTCGATGACTGTAGTTCCATGACCCAGTGCAAGCATCGCGATCCCAAGGAAGTGCTGCTGTCGACATTGGCGTGGACGGGGTTATAGGCGTATTCGGACTTGTACCCAGAGCGGAACGGCTTCCGATGCTTCCCCATCCAAACCGTGAAGTAGTAGTCGAGGTCGGGGATGGTGGCTCCTCCGCCAGCGGCTTGGTGTGTCCCCTGACCCCAAAACAGTCCGCCCCAACGCCAGCAGCATATGTCAAGGATTGGTTGGAAGCGTGAACGTTTTTCCACGAAACCAAGCCCCCATCTCCATCCTGTCCAGGTATATCTGGTCGAAGAACAAACCGCGGGATTGAGACGTCCTGCGCACTAGTCCTGGAACCGATTCTGCCCATAAATGCCGGCATATGGAAATCGTACACAACGACCGGCCCCTCGTGCTCATCCGTCTCGAGATCGTGGTTTTGCCGCTCGCGTCCCACGCCGCCGATGTCAAACTCGTCCATTCCAAGATCAGATTCATCGTCGGACGATTCGTCTTCGAGTGCGTTGTCCGGTACATACGAGTCTGAATGGTCGGTGACGAGGAATCTCATCCCAGTTTCTGTATCCTTCGCAGCCATGTCAATAAAAGTTTGAGCTCGGATTCGAGCAGAAGTCAAGTTGTTTCCTGCGGGCAATGCCTTTGGTCGGGTTGTAACTGAACCATGGGAGCTGCGGGGAAGACTATAGCGATCGGGTTTGAGCAGCGCCTGTCCACGTGGCATAGGCTGGCATACAGCCTGCAGAACCCCGGGAGGTTCTATGTCCGAGGGCGCACGTAGAGCCTCGAGACGAGGAAACCCGCTAGCAAGAATGCTTTGGGCAAGATGTGAGTTTGGTGAGTCCGTATGCCGGGGTGGTTTGATAAACGGAACGTAGTCGAGTCTGCCTAAGGCAGCGCCGGAGTCGGGGCCGGAAACATCCCAGTGAAGATACTTGAGACTTGACGAGGCAAAAAGTGGTTGGAAAACGATGCCGTCGGTATTCAGCGTCGGGCATTTAGTGCTTTGAACGAACGTAAAGCGTTCAAGTTGACTTAAAGATGCTAGCATCTTCGAGATCACCAGGAGCGAGTCGATATTTTGTTCAATTAGAGCGAGGGATTTGAGGGAGCTGGACTCGGGTTGCGATGCGTACTGGCACAGGCCGGTATCGGTGACTCCCGGGAGATTTTCCAGGCGCAGCGATTCCAGCGGTGGTAGGCATTGCAAGGTGCTGTCATTGAAGGCGTCTGCGTCGAAATTGGAGATACAGAGGTTTCGCAACGAAGGGAGCTCACTGCACATGCGAAGGAAGATGCTTGGCTCGAGGGAGTTTTTCTCATCAAGCCCGTACAGCATCAGAGTTTCCAAGGATGTCCACTGGGCATGATAGTCCAGAAACTCAAACATTTGTGATGGTCCCAAGCTCCACGGGCAGTATGTACTTCGGGGCGACCTCTCAGTTATCGCCGCAGCCTCTCCCAAGATCCAGGTGTGCTCCTTCAGCTTCCGCCGAGTCGATAACGCATGTGTTAGACGGTCAAATTCGTGATGGTAAGGAATGGTCAAACCCAGCAGCCGTTCCAGGTTCGGGCACACCATGACCACAGATGCAACCAAATCCCGATATTCCTGCCATTGGGTGCTGTGTCTGATTGTTGTGAATAGCAGGTCTAATTGGGGTACTCGAAGCTCTTGAACAAGATTGGCCAGCAATTTCCTCTCCCGGAGGGTTCGACGTAATAACTTGAGGCGACTTCCGCGCTTCAATCGATATTTTTTCAATTGGTTCGGTGAATCATTCCCAATAATGTGTATACGGTTGTACCTAAGACGGGTGGGTCTGTTAGCTCAAATGTCGTTCTTAGACTAGTGCATCACTCACAGTCTTGCTCTAACTGCCTTCTCCCATGGGCGACAGGTTAGAGAAAGCGCATGAAGGTCGCGTTGAAAGCATGTTAAGCATCCATTTTGGTTGGGGCCAGTGTGTAAGTAGTATAATTGATCCAAAATCGCATCGTACACCTCCTGGGGCAAACGCTTGAAGACCGACTCCAAGATCTTATCCAGAGACGCGGCCGAGTCGCAGAAGCGAGGAAGTGATGCTGAGAAGACGGGGGACGTAGAGTATTCTGTGGGGGCAGTTGAAACGCTGTAGTTGCTTTTGAATGAAGAGACTGATGATGTGCGAGATGAGACCGGCTGCACCGTCACGGCATACATCGAATCCTTGTAATCTGAGATGACCTGGCTTTGGTGAGGAATAGCGCTGTAAGAGACAGGCGTGCTCGTAGGTCTACTGGCGACAACGCTCATTTTGAAGATCAGTGTTGCATGAGACACCCGGTCGTAGAACAGTGCACGATTCTCGGGTTTTGGAAAAGAATGAAGAGCGCGCGGGTGCGTGCGCAAGGACCGTTGAAGACACCGAGAGAAAGGGGGAGGGATTCCGATAATGAGAGTGGGGAATTGATAAACCGAAGAGAACGACAGTACGGAGTAGTAAGTATATACAAAGATTGTGGTGCTTGGGTACACCGACCAAGTATGTGCAAGAGATAAACTAAAGGTGCAATGAAAGAAAGGACAGAATGGACCAGATGTGGTCTTGTAACAAGAGAATGCTAGCGATAATGGTCGCAGTCTAAAAGGACAAGGATTTAAAGCAAGGTTATGGGAAGAGAAAAAAAGAACAGATGGAGCGCGACTATTTTAGGAGAAGGAGGGGAAACAGCGTGGGAGATGTGGGCAACGAAAGTTATCAGAAACGCCAATAGGCCGAAACTCAGTTAATCCCCCAAAGTGGCTTAACGCAGGGCCATCAATGGCACAAGAAAGTCAGAGGCACAGCACCGCGAACACGCCACTGCTTCTTTGGGGGGGGGGGGTAAAAAGTGTATGAGGAAGACTTGGGACGGCAGTCGAGGGCCGATCGTCTCCACTGGAGCAGTGAGGATCTTGAATGGCACTAGACCACTAGTGTGTTGTCCTGAGAGCCGTGCGGAGCAATGCAGTGGTGCATGACTCCAACTCGTGCAGCCGTGCTGAACCAGATCACAAAGCTGTGGAGGAAGGCGGAGAATTTGGTTCACAGATCCAGCAGTCTGTTTCATCAACAGCCCGCTTGATGGCTAATCAAACCTGTCGAACATATCTAAAAACAAATGCAGGGACAGGCTGGTATTCTTTACTTCGAGATCAAGGCGAGTGAATTTCCAAATGGATGAGGTTATGCCAAAGGAGATGGAAGTCCGCCCGTGAACTAAATTGTTAGCCGGAGATTTAGTTCCCTGGGGTCAGACATGGCGGCAGTAGCAGCGGCCCAAACAAGTAAGGATGAGAGAGCGCAAAACTCGAAGCCCGTCAGACTATATGAAACATCCCGATTTACTCCGTACTTGTGCGAGTGCGAGTGCTTTCGCTTTGCTCTATTTTGGGGGGGAGGGTTGTTTGCTCATCATCATCAGGAAGTCAGCGTAGCGTACCAGGATGCATGGAGGTGGGAAACAAGCAACGATGATGACGAGGACCCCAGGGAAGAGTTTTGAGTTGGACCAGAGGGGAGGGGAGGAGAAAAGGAGGTGTGGCAGCCTCAAAGCCATGGATGAATTCCGTACAGTACATGGAATTATGGGATGCCTCGACACCCGTGGAACAAGGCGAGGGAACTAGGCGAGTTTGGGGCTAGCTCGGACTGACGGGGCTGACGCTAGAGTCAGGAACTCATCACGCTAAACTGCATTCAGCCGGTTCCTGCTGCAAACCAACCAGTGGTCCAGTCAGATCCTCTCCTCGCATCTCCTCAAACCCCCTTTTTCGATACATTATTGCCAACCTTGAAAACGTACGCGATCATCGTACCTCACTCCGTTCTCCGTACTGCTTCTCGTGTTGTCTCCAGGCTCGATCATTCTGCCGTCGCAAGACGTTGCCCGGAGCCAGGTTTCTGATTCGAGTTCTTGGTTTCTCTGTCTGAGATATTAATACCCTCCAATGACTCGGTAATATCCTCAACCTCTGACATCTGAGACTCAGTGACTGAGGTTTGGAACAACACACAACACAAGCAGCAGGAGATCGGAGAACTGGAAAGCGTGACCGCCTCCTGAGGATGAACCACCGTTATCAGCAACGAGCGCATGATCCATCTCTCGATGGAGCCATCCCACTTGTCGGTTCGCACCGTCAAATAGCCATTGGCTGATGCGCGGGACCCATTTGTGCAGAGCGCATTAATACCACCCCCATATTGATCGGTGTGCTAGGTGGATTGTTCTGAATAGGTTAGTAAGCCGTGGTGTCTGCAATCCGAGCATCAATCTCAGACAGCGAGGACGGGAGCAGGATATTTACTCGGACATAACAGTGCTCAAGCCGTGCCCACACGACTCCGCAACAAATGAATCAATATGAACACCTCTGCTGGTGGCAGAAGAGGGAAGTACAGCGCCATAGGCTGCCAGGAGTGTGCTTACCATGAAAAACATTGAATCCAATTCTTGAGCAACCGGGATACCAGCCAAGACAGGACGACACGTACACAACAGACAACCGAGCGGACAACTTAGCGAGCATCCCTCACCGAGTCGAGCCGTTGCCTACGTAGTAGTTCCGAGTATTTACTTGGTACTACTCCACCGCTCACGCAGTGGCAAGACAGTCGCTGTCCCATTTTTGTTCCATCTAGTATCACAATCCTGGTTTGGCCATCACAGTTGTTGTGTGTGAAGCACCAAAAGAGTTGGCAAGAATCTGTCATCGGTGAGTAGGCAAGTACAGTCACTACAGTACTTTCGTACAGCACTCTGAAACAGTAACGTGCCATATTTTTCTTTTTTTTTTTTCTTTTGACCCAGATCTAGTGGGGGTGGCTGCAGTGTTGTGCAGTCGGTCGGGAGGCGACCCTGCAGGTACAGTACGTGCTGCATGAAATGTGACTGCCTGCTTCCGATGTAATTGGTGGGTGCATCTCAGTTAGAGTACCAAAGTAGCCTCAGGCCACAACCTCCTTTTCTTGGCCGCGTAAACTGTAAATGGATATGTGTGGTTTCGACTTCTGGGGCAGCAATACCGATTGATCAATCTTGAAGAGGGAAAGGGTCGTGATTTGCAAACAACTCAAGTCCGGAAATCCCCAAGTCAATCAATCCCCAGGTCAATCAAAATGCGGGACACGGTCGATCATCACTTCTCTATGCCAATGCGGTAGGCTCCCTACCAATTATGCTTTTAGCTCTGACTATCGCAATCTTGCTTGCTTTAAACTTTCAGAGACAAATACATTGAAGTTCGCCAGTGAAATCCCAGACGGTTACTCTGGCGACTTTGGTGTTTCTCGGCAAACCCGGTGGCTAGATAGTTCGTTCCAACTTCCAAATATCTAACCTTCGGCATTAGTGGCGTGCTTGTCGGCTAGTGCTCTATTCATCGACTCAATTATCATGCCACAAGCGACTACCTAGTACTTAGTCAGTTAGACGTATCCATTATCCAAGCAACACCTAAGCCGGGAGCTAGTGAAAATGGCCTACATAGTACGGAGTACTTCCCTGGATGATGTCATCGTACCCCGTATAATGGCTCATCGATCCATGCACTATGCAGTAAGGCACCTTCCTCCCTGCGTCGTGCCATCAATAAACCACCACCACACTGCAACCATCCGAGCAGTACTTCAAACAACTACCACTGCTAAAACACACTCCGAACAGCACAAAAATTCCAAGGCGCATTTGAATCAAACAACCATCCACCCCTTCCTTCCCTCGTCTATTTTTATCCGCATCCGGCCCCTTTCTACCATGATACAGCCACTCGAAACAAACTCAGATTCTGCATCGAATTTACTTCCTAACTCAAACAGAAGGGAGAAATCAAAGTATTCTCCCCAGTTCACCTGATATGTACGGGGGACGATCTTCACGCACGGCCCCCAACGCGCCCATGAGCATTGGGCCCTCTTGGCGGATATGAGTCGTGCTTACAGTATTCCACACGGATGAGGGGACTGCGGCTGATAACTTCACCAATTAACTACTCTGGTGTTGGTTGTTATGAGTGAGTCTTCCAAATAGCCCCTTCGCAATAAACATCTAGGCTTGTCTAATGAATCGTGATTCTAAGATTAGCTCGCCTTGTGCTTTCGAGCATCAGGAGCTCTATAGTCCTATCTCTCTCAGAAACCCACAGTCCATCTCTTGGGTACAGCATAGCAGCCCAGAGTTCGGTAGACTACGAGACCATACAGATTATTAGGGGCCATTGCCACGCAGATCCCCTGCATTGTGGCTCTCGGTTTGCCCTGTTTTAGGTTACCTTGGCCATTTTGCTCGAAAGCTCGTGCTGATACTTTGCCACAGTACGCGGTTTCCTTGCTATTCAACGACCTAACCGTTCCTTGTCATAAACAGCTGGAATGAGAACGAGCTGCTTGCCTTGATAGATGCAATTTGAAAGGTCGTATTCTATCAAGAACCCCCGATGGTCTAGTTGGTTCATGGCGTTCGGCTGTAATGGTATAATTGAAACCGAAAAGTCACCAGTTCGATTCTGGTTCGGGGGATCTCTTTTTTCCAGCTGGATACCCAGTCTCTTACATTTTTTTTTATGGCTTGCCCTCTCGGTCAGCGAAGCAATCAGTGGCGACTACTATCTGGAGACAGTGCTTCCGAACGGCGGATAATTAGCAGGGCGCTGGTTCTCGTGTCGAGCGCAGTGCTGCGGTTGAAGGTTCAGGCGCATGTCCAACATTTCGCACCAAACGGGATGCCCATCTTTGATCGCAGCCGAAACTCAGGCCTGAAGATTAAAGATTGGAGCATAGAACCATATATTTTCCGCCAATCAACAAGAGCCCCCGATGGTCTAGTTGGTTCATGGCGTTCGGCTGTAATGGTATAATTGTAACCGAAAAGTCACCAGTTCGATTCTGGTTCGGGGGATCTATACTTTTGTTTTGGAGGTGTGATTGTCGCTTACCTTTTGTAAGCCGGAAGCACGTGCATGGGCAATGACTCATTACTTTCGGCCGCTAGATCAACAAACCCCCGATGGTCTAGTTGGTTCATGGCGTTCGGCTGTAATGGAAGTTGTAACCGAAAAGTCACCAGTTCGATTCTGGTTCGGGGGAAGTTTCTTTTTGCTCTTATGACACCCCATATGGTCTTTAAGCCGCTACCGAATGGCTCCTGCTTTCTTTCCTCGTTTGCTTGTGGGCGAATCTTACTGTACACCCTGGTTATGCACACACCTACTTTCCCGCATCACGACTCGGTCGATATACACCAACTATGGAAGCAAAGGATCCCACCCGAGGAGTACGACTGCGTGGTTTGCACACGCACACAAACATATCAACCAAGACCCATACTGACAGCCGGAGTACTTGGAATTCGAGCACTGAGTCGATTGAACATGGTGTCGTGGATGCAATAGTAGTCCAAGGTAAATATCATGTTCGACTGCGCGCTAATCTCTCTGCGCTGGGGGGGGGGGGGGGGGGCAGGCATGCTAGGTTGGCGAGCTGTGTTCCAGGTCAGATGAGTTCAACGTCCCTAGCCAGCTGGAGGGGGCCTGCATACAAGTCGGGACCAGCGTGAGTACTGGTATGCCAACGCACAAGAGTGTTGGCGTGGTAGAGGCTGATCGGGCGAAAGTTGCAAGCATGAGCATTCTCTGTATGAGCATCAAGCAACCAGAAATATCGAGAAATCCCTCTGGTTTAGGACACCATGCGCATGTATCGGGCATGTACAATGCATGTACTGTACAATGTTGCGTGCAAATGCCGAGAATCGCAACCCTCGTCCCCTTTGTACTCATTGAGGGAGGGAGGTGTTATTCGGCCCGGGTCGTGGATCGCTTGCAGTGGTGGGAAGGACCAGGCGAGGGATGTATAAAACTCGTCGCCGTACATGGTGCAGATAAGGATAACTATTTACCATGTATTCTCCTCAGCGCGTCCTATCACGGCATAAAAGAACAGCGCAGTGTCGCTGTCGGCCCACAAAGGCATCCCAAGCCAGTAGGCCGCCTGCCAGCTTGTAGGGTGGATTTCTTGTCCCCAACTTCTGTATAATCTCCTCACATCGTCTGGCGGCGTAGGTGGGCAAGATCAGAAGTACTCATTGATTGGCTTTTCCAGTCGCTACAAGTATCTTCCAGAGAGTGAAACCGCTCTGCCGCTGCGATGGCTTTCGTCTGTGCCCGAACTGAACTTTTTATACAGTAGTCCTGTTACTTACCTGCCTCGATAGGTCGACCCAGGAACGCATTACTCCAAAGAACAACCCTCGTGGACTAGCAACCTACCTTCAACGCTCTTAGGGCTGACCCAGAGGGCTCCAAAAAGCCCAATGCTGCGGGTCTTAAACGGAAAGGAAAAAAGACAGCAGAACGCAAAAAGACATTCCCCCGAACCAGAATCGAACTGGTGACTTTTCGGTTACAATTATACCATTACAGCCGAACGCCATGAACCAACTAGACCATCGGGGGTTGTTGAGGTAAGTTTATCAGGATTAGCTTATAGAAGGGAAAGAGCCATTCACTAAGGATTATCTGCGCGAAAAGACATCCAGCCACGGGAGTCCAGTGCGTGCCGCGGACAACGGAAAGTATAAATAAAGATTGACTGACCATGGCCCCACCATCGAATGCGGCAACTGGAGCTTGCCTGAGTGCATAGCGTCAGGTAGCCAGCGATTCAAATGGTTTCTGCAAAGGTACGTGTAATGTGCCACTCTGCATGTTAGGCAAAGCCTTCGCATGGGCGCTTCCTGCCATTAACACTCACGGTTATCCGGAGACCCCGGAGTGACCAGCAGCGGCCCACGAGTCAAAAATCACAGCGACAAGCAAGACCGCGGCCTGCCTTGTCCCAGGTAACTGCGGCCTTCGAGACATCAAAAAGATGCAAAAGAGAAGATCCCCCGAACCAGAATCGAACTGGTGACTTTTCGGTTACAATTAATACCATTACAGCCGAACGCCATGAACCAACTAGACCATCGGGGGCTTTTTTTGATTAGTCAGAATATAGTTGTAATTATACAGCGCCAGCAGCTCTATCGAGCAGATCTGGTCCCTGGCTCTTCTAGGTTAAATTAGCGAACAGCCTACTGTAGAGGACAGCTGGGTACAATGCTGGGCATCGACTGTATCAACAGTGCTGGGCGTGTCACTATAGGAATTCACCCCGTCGGGTCTTCGTGCAGAGATACAGACTGTATATTCTTTCTATCCAGGCCCCCACGGGCTCCGGCTGTAGTCCTTGAACAGAAGTATATTGCAATGGTAGAATTTCTCTTCTGTGGCGTTGCTCTCCATTGATCGCAGCCAGGTCGTCTAATCTACTGAGCTCGATCGGAGGCACTGGGGAACTCCGTCCTTCTTTCGACCTTCTCTTCCTGCATTTGCAATACATCACCTCACACGCCCCCTCGAACCTGATATGCTGACACTAAAGCAGCATTCCTTGTATTCGTTTGTTAGGCCCGTCGCAGACGGTCGTCTCTCTCGCCAATGGCAAGATATGTATCTCGGATGCGACTTCTCTGCATACTGGTAGCATACAGCGTGGACATGTTGTCTTGGGGCTATAGAGCCGCACTCTGCTTCTTACTGAGTGGTTGGGACTGGTCTACCATGTTCATTGTGCCTGACCGTGTCATCTCTTGCCTGACTACTATCGCGCGGCAGGTCAGCCGGCTAGCTTCGCTGCTACGGTAAGTGGTCATTGACGACTAGGATACTACTAGGTATATTTGTATTTCGGTTGAGGATCGATTGGTTACCATACTCGTTTTGGCAACTGGCGTCATCGGCACTCGCATCGGGTCTTCCGTCGGTTGCAATTCGCGCTGTTGTGGGTGCCATATCGCGTAGGTACAAGAGAAGTATATCGAGTGTTCTTTCTGGGGGTTGACTCACTGCATGAAGGGCTCGTCGACTCAAATGGATGCCCAAATGTATACTACAACTCGGCTTGCGAGTAGCATACAGCTGGTGGCACCGTCAAGCGGGATTCTCGCGACAAAGCCGCATACAGTGCATAGCCGGATAGGGCTACCCGACGGTCCGAATATATCGATTGTAACCTGTAACAACCTTTGTGCTAGCTCTTCTGGGCTACCAATGTCCTATGCTCCATTCTGCTGGACTCGTCATCCGAGGCAACTTCGCTGGTCACCCAGGTGTGGCAGGGCATTCCTCGTGGCTATCCGAGTACAGAGGTCGTATACGAACTCGGCCCTCCCCGTGCAGCCACGGCGGACATCACAGGTCTTCTAGGGCACTGTGAGACCGGGTCGGTTGGTGCGTGGAATTTGTGAAATGGTTTGGCCCACTTATGTAACATACCTTATTGCCAGCATAACATGAAATGGGGCAATGGCGCATCTGGGAGCGCGTCAGACTGAAGATCTGGAGGTGGCCGGTTCAAGCCCGGCTTGCCCCAACGTTTCTTTTTTTATTCTTTCGTTGTCTATATCAGCTCTAGCGGGTCATTCGATATGGTGGTCTGGAAGTGGAGGCATCATCCACCCTTCGCCGGCTAGCGAGGCGGGTAGGGCTTGCTGCTGACAGGATATCTGCTTCCGGACACCGCCTGCATTCTGCGTCATGCCTTCTATTGATCCAGTATACCCAGCGCTGGTATGATTGCTTGAGCAAGACGTGAACACAAGAAATGACTGACAATGATCTGCGGCGTGCCATCGGAGAATGAACGACAGAGCACATGTCTAAGGGACCAAATGTGCGAATGCCATGAAAGAAGATGGATCGTTAATGTCAACACAGGTCCTTGCCGTGATCAACCTTCAACCGTCCGACAAGTATTCCCCAACAGCGCCATAAGGACTACATACAAGACAAGTTTAAATTGTACTTTGAAAGATGTATAAGATCATTCAAATCACTAAGATGTAGCTGCAGTTGAGAATTGCGAGAGGTGTCGTTGAGAGTACGGTATCTACTGTAAAACCTCCCTTAAGCTTAGCGGGAGTTATCTATAAGAACCAAAGAAAGGAAACCCGTTTCATCAATTCTGGGACGATGGCGCATCTGGGAGCGCGTCAGACTGAAGCATTAACTTCGGCCGCCAGGTTTCATCCTTCGGGATGTCCCTAGTAATCTGAAGGTGGCCGGTTCAAGCCCGGCTCGTCCCATTTCTTTTTTTTTCCCGGTCTTTTTGACATACCGCCCGCCCTCCATTATCTGGCGTCTGTCAACATCACCATTGCGTCGAACCACCCAGCTACAGATATCCTCCGTGTCCTTCATTGTTGCTGTCCGTTGATCGGCTCGTTGTACGACCTCCTTATTCCAATGGTTGCACACACGAATTTCTCAGCAGCGAATACCCTCATGTCACTGCTCACTCTCAGCCCCAGGCGGACCGTGTCTTATTGGTTAAGCGATCCCCATCCAAAGGGCCAAGGTCAGCATCGAGCTTTCAGCTCCGCCTTGTACGAGCAACCATCACGTCTCCTGATTAGTTGCGGCAGGCCGCCAACATGGGGCATCTGGTGCCTAGGCTGCACCCTCGCGCAGCGGTGCCAAGGGACCTTTTCATAAAATCGGCCAAAACAAGCGAGCTGAACGAAATGGTCGACAGAAGGACAGCCTGGGCCAACTCCACCACCAACGACGTAGATATATAACCCCTGGGATGCAATGCTCTTGCTGCCGCCCAGCATGGAGGCCCAAATGAAACGTGCGGAAGAAGAGTGGCATACAGTATCCCGCCATGCGGTTCCAACTCTCCGAGCTAGACCCCAAATCCGACGCTCTCTCCGAGTTCGTCACCTGCCAGGTTACCCGTTTCGGAGAACCATCCCAGCCGATTTACCGGTTCTTCTACCCTATCTTTGGAGGTGAACCTGAGGCACAGAAGCAAGAGGCGCTCACAAACCTCATGCAACTGCACCGGGAGTGGGCTCGCGAGGACCCGGACTCCGTCTTCCTGCAGATCAGGGATCGTGATCGGGACAACCAGCTTGTTGCCGGCGTCTATTCCAAGGTCCACAGGCAGAAGCCGCATGTTTGTAAGTTGCTGCCCGCGTGCTGTCGATCTGGCTTTCACTCTCGTCCGTGGGCTAACTATGCGCACCGGTAGATATATTCGTCGGGTTCGTCTTACCCGAATACCGCCAACTGGGTCTGTTTGTCGACGGGCAGACGAGCTGGGGCTGGATTCCTGGCTTGAAGCGGCTATCGCAATGGGGGTGACGATCTACAGGCGCCACGGGTTTATACCCTATGGCGGTGGTCTTCTGGTTCAGCCTGCTGCGACAGAAGTGGAGGCCCAGGATGCAGCCTCTGCGATACTGGCCCATGTGGCGGCCTCCTCATGGAAAGATAGAACTCGGGAATACGAGCCCACCATGGGGCGAGCTGAGTACGAATAGGAGATTTTTGGGCAGGCTATGATATCCGAGGTGGCGAGGAAACTTGCCTATCCGGCAATTGAAAACTACGCTGGTACCGATCGCCTGTACAGCTACTGTCGTGCGTATAACTTGGCATGCTATTACCATGTGGGATACCTGCCCATCATCCCGTTGAACCACGACAGTCCCGGGGCTGTTGTTTCCCCTTTATTCATCTGCCATCCACTCAATGCCATGCCCGGTCCTCCGTCATGCATGACCACATGGAATCTGTTTTTAAGGCACATTGACCTCACCTGCTAGATCCCACCCTGCATAGTGTGGGTCAGACCAATCACTGTCGTTGATCTTCAATATCAACCGGCAGTACATGTTACGGCCAGAAGTAATTCAATTACAGCAGGGGTACTGACGATATCTTCAGCTCGTAGTAGAGCATATTAGAACTACAACCAATTACAAACTATACCTGCTGCGCACCCGCGATTTACGATCCCGACGACCCCAAGGTCTCTTGACAAATCGGTCGGGGTGGTTATGGCATAGGGTCTCCCGAGATAGCCTGTTGCTCAATCCTAGGGGTGATGTATAATCTCGCTTGTCATATTGTGAGCCCGACAGATTGCCTGTCGAGGCTTCGGGTGACACTTTTCTCGTACCCCACGGTCTCCGGCAAGCCATACGGTGCGTCAAGCGCCCTCGAGTAGACCGTGGACAACCTCGAAATCATTACTGGTTAGAACTTCGTCCCTTATATTCTATCACGATGGTAGCCAGCCATTAAAATGCTAGCCTACCTACTCCAATGCCACTGGCGCCTGACAGGCTCAAATGATCGCAGTACGTCTATGTACTATACACAAGGTCAAACAGAGTCGAGGACGACAGACAAGCCCAACATTTGTACAGTACACACGCAGCGCCCCGACGTCATGGCCACGCATCCCATGCCACACCAGTCAACCTCCATGTCAGAATTTAGAGCCCATTGAATAAAGAAAAGCTCCAGCGAGTCACGCCGCAGCGCACTGGAGCTTACGTTGGTAGACCTCCACAATACACCCCGCTTTCATCACAAGGGTATAAAGCACTAAACCCGGACTTCCAGCATCGAATACCCCCGATGGTCTAGTTGGTTCATGGCGTTCGGCTGTAATGGAAATTGTAACCGAAAAGTCACCAGTTCGATTCTGGTTCGGGGGAGTTCTACTTTTTGCCCCCCCTTTTTTTTCCCTTCAGATCCCAGCACCAGAGCTATGAGGAATCTCATTCAATGTCTGACGACCTGGGATTCATCGCCCAGTCGATCACCTCGTCACCGGTTACGGTACATTGGAACAAGCCCATCGACCCTCCCAGTCGTATTCAGCCAGCAGCAGCGAACAGTTTCCTCGACCGATGAGCATTGTAACCGTGCTTATCCGTCGGACAGGTATTGAACTACATCCAGCTCTTAAGGAGATCTAGACCCGGCTGACGGAGGCCAATTACTTTATTCTGCCATAACTATACAAAAAAAAACCCCTTTATGTATCAACATCGGCCCAGCAAATATCTATACACGGTGCCATGTCCTCTTCCCGAGGGCTACCCATTGCCTATGACGTTGTCGACATATCCTGAACCGTGACCACTCTCCTGGGTATGTGATGCAGGGGTTATGCAATAGCCTCCCTCGACACGTGGGAGATAAGATTGTCGTGTTCTCCGGCAAGGAGTCGCCGAAACTTAACGCAGGGGGGATGACGAATGCGTGTATACTTTTGTGGGTGCCGTGCGTACAGTAGTACAGCAACGGTGGCGCAATCACTCGGCCCTCGCTCGGTGGGCTTCGGTATCAGGGGCTGTTGGTATAGTGGAAAAGCTGTGTAGGTTTGATTTGATGGGCCATGGTGATGGAATCCAATGCAGGTTATACGGCGTCCAAGGCATGGGAGGCATAGACCTTCCGCTGGTGGGGGGGGGGATTAGTTATAGCTGCATCGCGCCCCCCCGCTGTGTTGCGGCAGGGTTTCACTTCAATCCTCCTCGAGACTTTCATGGTCACTTCTTGGACTATACTGGGACGCAGACTATATGGGCAGGGTAAAAAGAAAGAGGAGCAACAGCAAAGTTGATAACTGGTAACCCAGCCGACCCCAGGTCGGGCCAAAAAAGACATTCCCCCGAACCAGAATCGAACTGGTGACTTTTCGGTTACAATTTCCATTACAGCCGAACGCCATGAACCAACTAGACCATCGGGGGAGTGGTTATAGTATAGGAACGAACTGAATCTTAACAAGATACTATTCGGTTAGAAATCTCCGTATACGCGATCGATATCTCGAAGAATGAGAGTCTCCTCCATCGGCTATGAGCCATGTTTCTTAGTAGTCATGTCACGCTTGAGGGTAGGAGTAATTCTCTAAAGAGATATGCGTGCTTAATTTATTGGCACTTAAGCTAGATATGATGGCTTGGTTATCATGTCGGCGTTGAGCCATGAACAGTATAGGCCAGGTGGGTGGGCCATAGGACAGTTATAGCGCCCATGAACTAAGTAACCTGCGATGGCTACCACGTGTTTTGTTTATTTCTGGCCGGCGTGTCTTTCGTCTCATGCTCTCAAGCCCAACGAGTGGTAGTCTGTGTGCGCTGGAGGCATGATCTGGACCCCAAGTGCCAATCCAGACTCGGTGTCATCACCGACGGATATATACATCCCAGAGGCTATTCCGAGACGTCCATTTGAACCCAGCCACGCAGGTGATCTTGGCCCTGACCTCCCCCCCTCCCCCCAAAGCAAGAACAAAGAAACTACAAGCCACCAGCAGCACAAAGGGAAACCATACGTGACAACCCAGCACCCGGCAACGGTGCAAGCAACCTGCCGAGCCCGGGGTCCGCTGCCGTCATGCACCCCCCAGCTCAGTCGTCGCCCACCACCCACCAGAAACCAGCCACTACGACCCAGCGAACACCCTGCTATAAGCCAAGAAGCTCACCGCGAGCGCTACACATACCCAAGGCCAAACCCCACCCCTACTATCAGGCACAGACAGGGAGCCACAGCATCTTACCCCTCCCCCAACAGCATCACGGAAGTGAGCCTGCCAAAGACAGACAGAGCATCCCTCCCTTACCCCCGCCCCCTCGCATCTATAGCACAAGCCAACAACCAACCACAGAGACCAGTCTACCAGACCCCGCCCCCCCCCCAACCCAGACAACACGCAACACCGAAAGAGAAACAGAGTACAGGCAAGCCGAACCAGCACGGCATAGCCACCGCCTGTGCATTCACTGCAAGGAGCCCGCGATGATTCCGCTAGCCCAATCAGCCCGCACTGCTCGACACGATAGGATATATAGCCAGGGGCGCGGAACATGCTACGCTCGGGAGACGCGGGTCCCTTCCATGCACTGCTCCCTGCGACTACAGAAGCATAAGCACAAGCATGCCTCTATGCGCACGTAGCATGCAAGAAAAGACGTTCGAGATGATAATGGTGGACCGCTGGGTATGAATCCTAAGGCAGGGTTGATCGATGCTATCGAGATCCTCAAGAGGTTGCAGCACTTGTCCAACCCGAGCTGTCGAGCAGGATGAAAGTGGGGGGTGGCCGTGAAGCATGCCAAAAACGAGATAAACGACGACTGGGAATGGTGATGGACCGGGAAGGTGGTCAAGGGAACGTGATCACTCGACTAGCAGAACCTTCGGTGATCATGATTCTTCAAGTGACACGAACAGAGTGTAAGTTTTACGAATCAAGAGGTGACGAGGACAACTACATTCTACGGGTGGGAAGAAAATAGAACGAAATGATTCATGATTCAAGTTTTGTAGGATCAACTACATAACCCAAGTCTAGTTCCGTAATTCCATATTTTGTAATCATGAAAACATCATCACAACAATCATTACCCTTCAGAAACCAGCTTATTTCTTACCAGCCTTCTGGGCAGCCTTGGTGACCTTACCGGCACCAGCGGACTTCTCGACGGCCTTGATGACACCGACAGCAACGGTCTGGCGCATGTCACGGACGGCGAAACGACCAAGGGGAGGGTACTCAGTGAAGGACTCAACACACATGGGCTTGGAGGGGATCATCTTGACGATAGCGGCATCACCAGACTTGATGAACTTGGGGTTCGTCTCGATGGCCTTACCGGTACGGCGGTCAATCTTCTCAAGGAGCTCAGCGAACTTGCAAGCAATGTGAGCGGTGTGGCAGTCGAGGACGGGAGCGTAACCAGCGCCGACCTGACCGGGGTGGTTGAGGACGATGACCTGAGCGGTGAAGCTGGCGGCACCCATAGGGGGGTCGTTCTTGGAGTCACCGGCAACGTTACCACGGCGAACCTCCTTGACGGAAACGTTCTTGACGTTGAAACCAACGTTGTCACCGGGGACACCCTCCTTGAGCTGCTGGTGGTGCATCTCAACGGACTTGACTTCAGTGGTGACGTTGGCGGGAGCGAAGGTCACGACCATACCAGGGGTGATGACACCAGTCTCGACACGACCAACGGGCACAGTTCCAATACCGGAGATCTTGTAGACATCCTGGAGAGGAAGACGGAGGGGCTTGTTGGAGGGACGGACGGGAGGCTCAATGGCGTCGATGGCCTCGAGGAGAGTCTTACCGGTGGACTTGCCAGCCTTGGTCTCCTTCTCCCAGCCCTTGTACCAGGGGCAGTTAGGGGAAACCTCGAGCATGTTGTCACCGTTGAAACCGGAGATGGGGACGAAAGGAACGGCCTTGGGGTTGTAGCCGACCTTCTTGATGAAGTTGGAGGTCTCCTTGACGATCTCGTTGTAACGGTCCTCGGACCACTTGCAGGTGTCCATCTTGTTGAGGGCAACAATGAGCTGACGGACACCGAGGGTGAAAGCGAGCAGAGCGTGCTCACGGGTCTGGCCATCCTTGGAGATACCAGCCTCGAATTCACCAGTACCGGAGGCAATGATGAGGATAGCGCAATCGGCCTGGGAGGTACCAGTGATCATGTTCTTGATGAAGTCACGGTGACCGGGGGCATCTATGACGGATGAGTTAGATGATGGATGAGAGCATATAGAGTCGTGTGACAACTTACCAATGACGGTAACCTCATACTTGGCAGTCTGGAACTTCCAGAGAGCGATATCGATGGTGATACCACGCTCACGCTCGGACTTGAGCTTGTCAAGAACCCAAGCGTACTTGAAAGAACCCTTACCGAGCTCAGCGGCTTCCTTCTCGAACTTCTCGATGGTACGCTGGTCGATACCACCGCACTTGTAGATCAAGTGACCAGTAGTGGTGGACTTGCCGGAATCGACGTGGCCGATAACGACAATGTTGATGTGAGAACGCTCGTCCTTACTGTTGATGGGAAATGAGTTAGCTGGATGACTCTTTTCGACGCCAGATCCCAGCCACCAGTGTCCTGGTGGCTGGGAAAAACTCTGATCGTTGGATAGATCCGAGTCGAGGAATTCAAGACTTACCCCATGGTGACGGTGTTGTGAAGTGAACTTTTGAAAAAGGTTCTAAAAAAATTGCTCAGATACTACGGCCACAAATGCGTAGAGGTGCTGAACAACAAGAGTCAGTAAGAGAGGAATGAAGAAAGGAAGAGGAAGAGGAAGAGGGAAGCGAGAAGAGAGGGGGGGAAGATATACGTACTGAAGCGGACGAGGAGGGAAGGAAGAAAATTCTGTGGGAGGGGGGAGGAGGGGAAATCCTTATATGGAGGGGTCAAGCGAGAGGGCGACTAAGCGGGCGGGCTCCAACCCTTGGCGAATAATGAGCGCAATTGGACATGGAGGGGTAACCAGGTTGACCCAGCCCCACTTATTTACTGGTTGGTTCCAAGTGCGGGACCAGCGCAAAAAAATCTTCACCTGCTGGGCGGAGCCTGGATTCAACTGACCACAGTACGTAGTAGGAGTGATAGCAGCACCAGCACCAGCACCAGCACCGGCACCAGCAGAGCCTATGCGATCATTACTTGGTTCTGCTTATCCTGTCTATCTCCTTGGAACCACTCGGAGTCCTTACAACCGTATCCACTATATCGAAGAATTTTTTTTTCTTTACCCTTTCCCTTCTTTCCATCTATCTAGATACAGTACAACCCCCCTATCCTCTTCCTCGGCACTGTACCTCTCTTCAAACTTTGCCTCCAGCTGGTTACCCAGTACGGAGTACATACTTACTGAATCCGTAAACTCAAGGTGGGGGGTGTATCAACCATCAACCGGTAGATTGCAGCACGTAGGTACTGTACATACGTTTCCACTAAGTACAGTACAGTACCCCTCGGTTTGGACTGAAATTCTGGGCATCAACGCAGGTAAGTGGATTTGCTGCTGGCCCGGCTTGTTGGCCTTGTTTGCAACAGAACCCCGCGGCAGGTGGCAACGTTGATTTGTCCGTTGGAAGGGCAGCTGTGGCACGGCCGAGTGGCGCCCGCCCCGATCCACTGTGGGCTCGGTGGGATGTGCATTCACATTTGTGAGGTCAACCTCCTCGTCGCCGCCGCCGCCGCCGCCGCAGCAACAATCATAATTTTATCTAACGGGAACGGAAAAAAAAGTCTGTGTTGCTATGATACCGACTTTTTGCCTCGCGGTGGTTGGTGTGTTCGATGAACTAGATTTTCTCCATTCGATGGACCTGGAAGGGAACAGGGCCATAAAGGCAAAAAGAAAAAAAATCATCATGTTTGATATTGATAGACAACTGATCGCCTAGACAACTAATGAACAGATTTTTTTTTCCTTCTGGTTTTTTTTTTTTTTTTTTTTTTTTTTTTTTTTTTTTTTGCCGCCGCCCCTCTCTTGTGTTTCTTTTTTTGCCATCATGCTGTCTGTTGTGTGCGTGTGTGTTGAGTGTGCCCCTCACCAAGTCTGAGGATGAGGGTCGTCGTCGGTTTTTGGCGGCTCTCTGCGCCTAACGCATGCTCGTTCACAACATCTTTCTTTCTTGGCCTTTACCTATTCGAGTCCCCGAGGGTGTAGGGGGGCAAAGAAAAAAAATGACTCAAGCTTGGTATCGTATGAGAGCTGGACTAGATGCCACCAACACAACACATCAACAAAGGAAGCTTACCTTACCTTGAACCAATCCAGATCGGGGGATTATCTGCCTGTTGCCGGCCCAAAGGTAAAATTCCCATCGGCACGGGTTGAGATTTTCTTTTTGGTTTTGGGTTCGGCGCTTGATCTGACAGACTAGCCCTTCCTTCTTCTGCCTGAACGACTAGTCAACATCATTAGTGCTGTTTTAACTACATTGAAACATCATGCGGTCAATCATCTATTGAGGGGTATCTGTTTAAGCTAGATAGATGTATACATCATCACACAGGCCATCGTAAGGACCCAAGGTCGACCTCATGAAGTTTAGACTTCAAGAGTTGACTCCAAAAAAAAACCACCAGCAACCGAACCCATTTGCGTCGGAAGACAACTCCACTGCTTCTCTCTATAGTCTAATCCACAAGACAAAAAAAAACATGTTCCCAAAGATTATAGGCGTATAGTCCCAACTTGGATCGAGGGGCAAGACACATCAATTTTCTCTCCATCTGGCGCCGCACGTGGTACACTGGAATGTAATATCCGCTATCAGCAAGGCATGTCGGGCAGTATGCATACATCCGCATGAGAGCCGCGGGGAGGGGTAAAATGAAAAAAAAAAAAAAATAAGAAAATATAATAAAATTAGCACCCACCTTCAAGAATGTAGTCATCGGTTCATCTGCACTCCGAATCTGCAGCTGGAAGAAATATGCACGGTCGCCATTACAGTTCTCTGCGGGGCATTGGGCTGAAGGAGGAGGCGCACAACAAGGTCAGCATCTGCAAGCTTTCTCTTCTGCCTGGTTTGTCTCCAAGCTGGCGGTATCGAAACACACAGCCAGGAGGAGCAACATGGTAGGCGAAGCAACTTACTGGCCACGCTATCCGCATTCGCAAATTCTTCCTTGCCACCAAATACATCCTCGACCTCTTTCTGCTTCATCGGAGTCTTCTCGAACCAGCTCTGTTCCAGGACATATTGGTAGGGGCAGGTGCGGCACTCGAAGCGGTTGACGCCCAATGGATGTCTTCCAGTCGGCTCTGCGCGAGAAATGGTGAGCGCATTGCTGCAGTTGGGACAGACTATTGAGTAACCGGGGTCAGAAGAAGTTCGTCGTCCAAGAGAGAAGTGTAGCTATAGATGGGCTGGCGGTACCCCGCGCGAAGGAGGGACTCACAGGTCAACGGCATGATGAGGATGTTTCCTGGCTAGAAAGTCCGTCAATCAAAGATGTCTAGTGGGTAGCAATGGTGTCACGGTAGCAAGTCTCTTCGCATAATGTGGCCCTGCATAAAGGCGACTACGGGAAGAAATCCAGTGTACTGCAGCTGTCACTGTCTCTCGCAGTAGTCAGTCAGGGTCGCATGCGATCTCAGCGATAAAGAACTAGGCTGGGTTGAGGCTCTTATCAGCCGGCGATGCCGCTGGGCGGACGAAGATTGACACCCGCCGATTGGACGCGGGGCAAGACTGGAAACGGGCCGGATTAACTCGGCTGCCGGTAGGCCGCCCGCCGCCGCTTCGAGAGCCGGCGGGGAGCCAACAATAGGGAGGCATCAGGCATAAGGCAATAAACACCCATACAAACACAAGCTTCGACAAACCGACCAGAATTGTAAGTGAGGCTTGCTGCGATCTATTCTTGTCCCTCATGGCTCGGCCTCACTTGTGCAAGCCTATATATAGACTTTGCTCCCCACATGCCTCATGCTAATCTTCTATTGATTCTCTAGTTGCTTCCGACACCGCCTCCTGACTACTTCGCGGCTACTCCGGCGGCATTTATACACAACAACTCCTCAGGGCAGCAACTCTCCTGAATCTTGACGGACTACTAAATATTGATTGCGCTTTCTCGTCTCTTTCCGACTCTCAATATCCAACGCACGAAATCATAATGGCTGACGAGGTGAGTGCCATCCTCACCTCCGTTACCCTTCTACATTGCTCATACTATTACCTAGGGCGCTTCCCCGCGTGAGCTGGTTGTGGAGGCCTGTCGGCGCGACCAGCCTCACTTGATAGAACAGGTGCTTGAAGACATGACGGACAAGTCGAACGAGGAGGTGGCCGAGTTCTTCAACGGGGTGACGGATTCCATGGGCAACCATGCTCTACACATCTGCGCCTCGTACGGAAGCTGTCAGTGTCCACCGTTCAGCGATGGAGCCTCCAAATTAGATCTGCGAACTGACCACTTCTCTACATACATACAGATGACACCATGGACACCCTCTTCGACATTCAGTACTTCGAATGTGACCCCCTGACCCGCCTCGACAAAGATACCCCGCTCCACGTCGCAGTCCGCTATGCCAACGAGAAGGATGCCGAGTTAGGGCTGGAGATGGTCAGGATGATGTGCGATGCCGGGTGCGACCCGCGGGTCCGGAATAAGCACGGCCAGAAGCCCACGGAGCTCGTCTACAACAACCCCGAGATCAAGTCGGTCCTGCAGCAAGCGGAGTACGTGATGGCCGAGGGACTCCGGGAGGACGCGGACAGTGGCTCCGTGCACGACAGTGCCAGCGACAGCGAGTAAATATGTAATAGCGAAACACCCACCCCTGTATAGCGCTTTTCTTGATTTCTATAGATGTATGCAAGCGATGTTCACCTTTTGAGTTTTGGAGTATCTATCTTTCTTCCCCGAATTGCATAAACTGTGTAACTACATGGCTGGATGCAGGGCCGACCCTGTGTGACGTGCAGACGGGGACTACCGCTGCAGTTTCGCGGTCTGCATGGAGTGTATACCTGCGACTAAGACCGCATGTTGCAGCAACTGCATCCCGCCTTCCGAGTCGGTTATACGTAGTAGTAGCAAGCACTCTTGGAGCTTAAACATATGGCATAAACTAGGGTATCATTCAGTCGAGAAGGACTGGGATAAAGTGATAACGCATCAGAACAACCCATCAAACATGGTGCATAATTAACCGCTCTCTTCGCCCTCAGAGCCAGACTCTGTTCGTCCACGCCGTCGGGGCTGTTGTCTTCTTTGGCCCCGCGGTCCTTGATCCCCATCTTCCTCGTTGGCAGCGGCGTTCTCGGCCGGTCTCTCCTGCGCGCGGCCGTGAGGCGCCTGGAGCCCGAGGCTCCGCGCCAGACGGATTTCCAACTCCTCGTCGGGCTCATCTGCATCCTGCTGGCCGTAAACCTCGCGAACCAGTCCAGCCACGCCCTGAGTCCCCACCTCGACCTTCCCACGCGGGCCCAGAATGTACTCGATGACTTCCTCCCCACCATCGACATCGCGGTTCCGCACCAGGTATCCTTCTTTGCAGAGCCGCTGAAGGAACCGGTCCGTGCGATCAACAGGCGTGTAAGTGTTAGTGTTCGTCCGCTGCAGATACCTATCCAGCTTCTGCTCCTGAATCGTGCCCCCGTTCAGCAGAATCACCGCAATGATGAACGAATACAACCCCGTGTAGGTACTTTCCAACGGAGCCTTGCTAGGGCGCAGGATCGCCGGCCTGCGGTACTCGGGCGGCAGGAGACTGGTGAGTATCCAGTTCTTATTCCCCGAGGACGCCTTTTCGATTTTCTGAGCAGCTACAGCGTAAACCAGGGAACCCCCCCAAACCGAGTCAACAAAATCCGCCATCCACATCTCGACTTTTTAGGCCTGCATGCAACTCACCTCGCCGTTGGTGAACGGTCACTTTCTCCCTCACCGGCAACTCAGTCATCTGCATTCCGAACTTCTCGCCCAGCACCCGCTGCGCTTCGTCGAACACGGTCCGGAACTGTCGCGCCCCTTGCTCCCCCAGAACCTTGGCGCTGATATCGGTGCGGCGGAGCGGTTGCCGGGAGTACTCGCTGGCCAGGGCCAGTCGCACTAGCTTTTTGACCATCACGTCGGTGCTCGTCGGGGCCCGGATGTCGGAGCCCTCGCCCGCGTAGCCTTCGGATGAGGACGAGTCGCGTCTCCGGCGGCGGGGCGCATTCTGTGTGGGAGGCGGGCTGCCGTCTGCCTCCTCGCTTGACTCGTTTTCCGGGGCCTATTGATCGTTGTTTTATCAGTGTTGTGGTTTCTTTGACGTTTTTTGAGGGCTTATCGGCAGAAGAGGGTACGGACCGCGCGGCGTTTGCGATTCGGAGGCATTCTGAGTGACGCTGGATCCGGGTACGGTGTTGAAGTGGTTTTGTCTTGCAATCAGACGGCTTGATATTGTCTCTTGCTGGCAATGGGTGCGGAGGGTGATCTTGATTCTCTGGGGAGTGGAGGGGTAATTCCTCTGGGCTCGATGTGGTGGTTTCTTTGTCCGATGGCGGACGCGCTTGACGCGCCAAGCCTAGTGTGGAACTTTGACGTGATATTGCCTCTTTGGGACTATCACATGGTGATAAGAGCTGGGACTATGGCGTACTGTACAGTATGATTTCATACCTACATAATGGATACTATGATAACTAACTGTCTACTATAAATCACGAGTATGGCGAGGGGATAGAAAAAAAAAAGAGGCTATTCCGCCAGCTGTTCACGGATTGACTGCAATCGAAGACCTCGTTCTTAGTCGGTTCGTTGTCTGCCTGGCAGTTCTTTGTTTATGCCCTGTAGGGTACTCGCCAGAGCCTGCCATGAGCAGCACCGTATCATCGCTTACGTGCCATTTTACAACAGCTTGACGACCACCACGACGACGTAAAAGAAATCCAGCACGAAAGTCCATCTTCTGACCATGGAGAAGATGAGCAAAAAGCAAATCTCCCCGACTGGGAGTCGAACCCAGGTCTCCCGCGCTTGTTCCCGACTGGGATTGACAAGCGGAAATCATGACCGTTAGACCATCGAGGACTTGTTATATGTCGGCTCCAAACTATGTTATATAGTCCTTCTATCAGCTATCATTGCTGCGCGTCGCAAATGAGTACTGTATCGCAAGGGTGTGCAATTACGCCTTGGATGCGACGACGAAATCCAGCCCCTAAGGTCTTTTGAAATGTATCCAGATCTCTTCGCCTCTTACACCGCAGGAAACGTTCAGTAGCTGGAAAGATGAGCATGGAGGGGATTTAGCATCTCGATTGCGGCCGAGTAAACAGTGGCAGTGCCAAACTGCGCGCTCCTAGAAGGTACCTAATAGGTCCTGCAGCTTCAGCGTCTTGTTCACCAACGACACACACTTATACGGGCTACCAGGAATGGCTCACTAATGTAGTCCTTTCAGGCGAACATGACCGTCATCTAGGCTCATGATTCGCTAGCCTTATGGGCTTCGAGTGAAGTAGCCCCTCCCCGGCTAAGCACCTGTCATGCAGAGTGCCTACATGGCAAGGCTCTCAATCATCTTTCAAGCTGAAAGAGACCTTCTCTCTTCTTGCCCAATCGACTGTCAAGATGCTCCTCGACACGCCCCCATCTTGTGTTTCAATTGCTGAGGTCCTATCCACTGCGTGCATGGCTTGTTTGCCTCCAAGCGCTCGAGGATCAACTTGACAACTCGAATTCGATGGCAGCCACGAATATGCCATGCATGATCACAATAGCCGGGGACATGCAGCGGATGAATTGATTGACGGGAACGGAATGAAGGGTGCTATCTTACATTATCTTTTGTCGCTTGAAACCGAATCCCGCAGACTTCGGCGTGACATGTGCGTGGTGCAGAGCAGGCCAGGGGACCATATTTCATTACCACTCAGCATAAGCGAGTTAATGGACAAGTATTTGCAGGTGCAGTTCCATATGGAATCCATTCTCTCGCGGACTCAACACAGGCTCGACATGAAGCAAAACAGCACCCTAAACACCTGACCAATATCCAAATACGAGAGGGCAGAAATTCCGTCGAGCAAGCCGTAACTGTCAAGCGGTATGCAATGGAACCGCCCTTGCCAAAGACGGACTGAAAGCGATGCGACTGACAGTTGAGGTCTTAGTCTCACTATCTTAGCCTTTGTCTCCATTCCTTTATCCTGTTTTGGCTCCGCGTTTGGCATGAATCTCAGGAAGATGAACTCGTATCCATCCATTTGAGTCTTTGTAGCCGTAGCTATCGTCGTCACCACGGTCATTCTGGTGGCGGCATCATATAAATCTACCCCTGATTTGTGTTACCGAGTCTGGCTGCTTCTGGAACTTATACCTTACCATTTCTACTGGTTGGAATTGAGGGCGCAACTGCGTATCCATCGGCTCTGGCGCAGAGTAGTTCGAAGGGCCCTGCTAGTCCAGCAGAAGACATGGATAGTTTGCTTGAATTGTTGGAGCTGATTGTGAATGTGTGACTGTGTGGATACGTGCGACCCACGTACTGCCCTTGTGAGGGCTACAAGTCTTCGTTCATTCCTGAACCTGCCGCCGGAGTCATTTCTTTATATATTACCATGGCTCATATTTGGCTTCAGTGGGCGCTGTTTCTATCTATATCCAAGAAAGAAAAGCCGAAAGATGTTGTACTTTGCTGAGGAGTATGCATTGATGCTTTTCAGACCTGTATGCAGGGGAAGAAGAAAGGTGTGTCGATAAAAGACAGTAACCACTAGTCTTCGTAGGGTGGACTGTTCCTGGGGCATGGGGACAGGAACAGTAAGCATGGCAGGAACAGTGGAGGTGGAGACTACCTAGTAGTTGTGATGGTTACCTTACCTAGCATTACCTTGAGCCAAGTGCTTACATTGTGATCCACCCACTACAACAATCTAAGGTAGTTTAATAGTCACTGTAGCCTACCTACCGTGATTTATTACCCCATTGTCTCCTCACCACTCTCTTCATCTATTCCTTCCATGTTCACCACACAACCAGTATTTTCATCCTCATAGCCACCAACCATGCCGAGCGGGAATTCCATTAGTACGGAGCATGTCGTCCCCGAATCTCATTTTCGGCAATATCCAGGAAGCACCGTCACCCAGGCGGATGCTTTGCATCTACACGTTCAGCAATATACCCCTAAATTAGATCGAACCGAGCCGGTGCCGATGGATGCTGTCACGTTCATTGCTGCTCATGGAGCCGGGCTACCGAAGATGCAGCTGTCTCTACACCACTCAAGGTCCTAGACATACCTACCTCTTATCTATAGGAACTGTAAGAGCCGCTGTGGGACGAGCCCTTAGAGCAAGCCACCAATTGTCGAACCCGCAGTATCTGGATGGCGGACTGTGCGAGTATGAACATGAGCTCGGGATTCTGAATGACCACAAGCTCAGTATAGACTGTACCTCCCTTCTAGGCCACATGTCAGCACTAACAAATGGCTCACAATGTTCTAGGGTACTAGGCTCTTGGGAGGACCATTCTTGGGAACCTCTTCCTGACGTCCGGGAGCGGGCGACAATAGCCCTAACGAACCGCGAACGTTAGCGCCTGGAAACACTTCAAGCTACGATTTTACTCATGATGTCAAAAACTATACCTTTCTACATGCAAGATCCTCGATGGTCTAACGGTCATGATTTCCGCTTGTCAATCCCTGTATGGGAACAAGCGCGGGAGACCTGGGTTCGACTCCCAGTCGGGGAGATCTTTCTTTTGTTTTTTGTGGGTCTGCTGATGATTGTGGACTGGTTCTACCTACTTGTCCTTTGCTTGGCTTGGATTGAGGGATAGAGGTTGGTTGTATGGTATGGCAGTGTTGCAAATGGGGTTGGTTGGTGGGTTGGGTTGAATGCAGTGGAAGGATTCAATGTCTGGTCTGGTGGAAGATTAGGCTTGTTGAGTCTGGATGGTGGACTGACGCCATTAGTATGAGTAATGTCTGACTTTCGCACCGCATTGTATGCGATTAGATCTTGTTTGTGGTTGGCGTACCTGCTCCTGAGGACTATAATGCTTGTCATGGCCTAAATGGCATGTAGGTTGTACCATACCTCTGTTGAAATGCCTTATTCAATGGCCTCGAAAGTCTAAACCGCAACGTAAGCGCCAGTGAATACATTTTCCCGGAGATTCTAAGAAAACCGACAATCAAGCTGTATGTTCAACAAGACCACAAAGAAATATGGACGTGGAATCCTCCCCTGGCATAAAGAAAGAAATGAAATGGAGATTCTTGCCTAAAGTGGTATCTGATCACTAGACAAGGTTGGGACAGGAAGATCCGGTGCTGTTCATTGTCTCTTTCGTCCTCCATATGGGCATAATGTAGCTTGTAGTTTGGCTTCAGTTATCCTGGTGCTCAGTCTTTGACATGCCAGGTGAATCCCGGCTAGATAGAAGTGGCCCAGGCGGAGAGTTCCAATCGAGAGCCCATTCAACAACAGAAACAGCATTGAAGGAAACTGAATGCCCGTTCCATTATCTGATTATCCAGATCCCCACAACGACGCGGAGCTTATCTTCCAGAAACAGAGACATCACAGACCCAAGCCCTAGATTGTTGCTCGCAAAACTCCATCAAAGCCTCCCCAACGCAGGAACGACAGAAGAATAATTGAAGAACCCCTTCAGTCGGAACCAAAATACCATAACAGCATCAGCAAGCCCGCAAGGCCTATATAAGAACATCCGAATACCAGAATTTCTACTACTCCATCCTCCCCAACCCCCAGCCATCGTTTCCAGAGCCAACATCATCACGACCTCCCAAGAACGAACCGTCCTGACGCAAAACCGAAACGATGTCGCCGCCCTTCTTCGAATTCACCCGCCTGCCGGAAGGCCAAGAATCCTGGGCCCTCCACGCCCTCCTCGCCGAGCAGCTCCAGGCGATGCCGGCCCGGCGCGTGCCCCAACCCCCACCCCCACCCCTGCCCCACGAGTTCCAGCACTACGAGGACATCCCCGCGTTTGTGGTCGTGCGCCTCGGCGGGGAGATCCACGACCACTTCGCCGCGCTCCCCTGGGAGCAGTGGACGATGAACCTGATCTTCCGGGTGCTGCGCGACCGCGCCCCGCGGAGCATGCCCTTCTACGGCGTCGTGCACGCCCACCACTGGGTCCGCTTCTACCGCGAGACGACGGCGGCCGACCGAAACACCGCGGTGGCTTCGCACACGGTCCACCCTGTGGCTGTCAACCAGGTGTACACGCTCCATTGGTACGGGGATGAGCAGCTGATTGTCGAGTTTGTGGACGCGGTGCGCCAACGTCGTCGGCGTCGGGGCCGGGGTGTGCGTGCCTTTGATGGGGTTCCGCCCCCCCGGGTCCGGAAGGTTCCCTTCCACGTGGATCAGATTGAGTGGGTGACGGGGGAGGATGGGGATGATGAGGTGGTGGTGCTGAAGGAGGAGGAGGAGGAGGAGGAGGAGGAGGAGGAGGAGGACGCGCAGGGGGAGGGTGATACTGAGTCTGAGTCTGAGGAGGAAGAGGTGAGTGATTGGCGTTTGCCTTCGCCTCTGCTTAAGACTGAGGAGGCCATGTTGGAGTCTCTGTCTACTCCGATTGACAGGGGCTTGTGTACTTCTGCCGAGACCACCCCGTTTAGCGGGGACGAGGACAACGACGATTCTCCGTACACCCTGGGGCATTCTGAGGAGCCGCCGGTCTTCAAGCGTGAATCTCCATGGTAAGTCGCTTCCACCCTGCTTTCCTTTCCTTTTGCAGCCCTGAATTATGGTGCTGTTGATCAACATATCGAACAAAAAAAAAACAAACAAAAAAAAAACAACGTTAGAATTGATAAGGAAGAAAAGCTCTCGTCGAGCTTGAGTTCCGGAAATATCACGTACACCTTTTCAGGTATGCGCCAGGGTATGTCGGCTAATGCGTCTCTAGAAAACGGCGGCAGTAAAGCATAAGGTAAACTATACCTAGTAACCCTAGATCTTACGTAGAACTCACCCAACAGCACACAGGCAACCTGATTTCCGCTGTACTACTTCATACTACACAAGTCATACATCCCACAGCAAATGTGCGCTGCATACAGAAGCAATTGTCTTGGCGCTAGGACCATGGAGGAATCCGATTAATCTTGAAGAAGAGAGCTTACACGCTTCATCTTACCATCTGATCTACTGGACAGTACAGCTCTGGGCATGAGAGAAAACTGCATATTCTAGGACAGAACACATAATTTGCAAAAATCTCCAAGCAAGATCCTCGATGGTCTAACGGTCATGATTTCCGCTTGTCAATCCCAGTCGGGAACAAGCGCGGGAGACCTGGGTTCGACTCCCAGTCGGGGAGATCTCTTTTTGCTTCTGCATACGCATCATGGATTTACTGTCCAAGTTCCTTGTTGTCTTTTTGATCGTCTATCGGGTCGCCCCTCAATGCATTCTACGAGAAGATAGGCGATTCTGATCCACAAGATACACTTATCAAGGGCTGGGACCCATGATGTGTATTCAAATGCAAGCTATAAATAACACACACGCACATTCCACCAGCGCAGAGAGAGGAAAACCACCAATGTTCGTTACAGAGAAATTAGAACTAAATGTGCACCACGCACCGCTGACCAAGCGAATCGAGCCACAAGAGCGCAAAGCTTTCTAAAGGTGGGACAGAAAAGTAGCAAAGCAAAGAGTCGAAGACATTGGGAAAGTTCGAGGGACAAGACGGAAGATCGTTCCGAGGTATCAACAAAGACGGGATCTGGGACTATTTGTCGGTCTTCTCATTCACAGCTTCCTTAACCTGCGTTTTCTTCGCCTGCAGCAGGGAGCTGAGGTAGGCCAAGGACTCTTGCGACAGCACAAGGGTGGTGCTGATGATGGCCTTGCTTCCAGCGACAACACCATCGCCTCCGCATTTCTTGTACTCCGAGTTCAGCGTGTCGACCACGTGGGCCTTCATGTCCCCGGCGAAGCGCAAGGGGAAGGTGGCTCCGTCTCGGAGAGATTCCTTCAGCTTGTCGGTGTCCTCCCGAACAATGGGGAAGGTTTCGTCGACTTTGGTCAAGCCTTGGTCGCCGAGCGAGTCCACGCGAGCAACGTACGGAGCAATGTAGACATAGGGCTTGGAGAAGTAAGGAAGAAGAGGCTTGGCCAGGCGGCTGTACCCTTGATCGGCATACTCCAGGGTCTTTGCGCCATACTTGTTTGTTTTAAAGACGGTGATTGAATCTGCAACCACCGGATACGATGTCAAGTGCTAATTGGGATCGCGTGATCAGTTTAGGCATGCTGAGAGGAAGGGAGGGATGTAGATAGATATGCTTGGAGGTCAAAACTTACATCGATGAAGTGGGAATGAACTTTCTCTCCATTAACCGAGTTCTCACCCATTGTTCCGTTTTCCGCGTGAGGCATGGAGGTCTACGCCCGAGACGGGGGAACATTAGTACCGTATAGTAAGTATCTGGGGTAATGGTGTATGAATAGGTATGACAACTTGGTATAGCATGACATACCTGGTAATCGGGTGTGTAAGTAATCAAGGCGATTACCACACAATGTTAAGAATGATGAGGGGGTGGAAATACGGTTAAAGCTCCGGAAGAAGAGTTCGAGCGCAGGGGGGAATGAAAAGATTTTGGAGGGAGGGGATGGAAAGGAAGGAGGGGGTGATTTAGGAATTTGGAAGGAGGGAGGGAGGAGGAGGAGGAGGAGGAGGAGGAGGAGGAGGAGGGAAGAAAGGAAATGCAGGTGAATTTCCGAGGGAGGGTACTACCTTAAAGTAAATCAGAAGAAGAAGAAGAAGAAGAAGTAGTAGGAGTTGTAGGAGTAGTATGAAAGATAGCAATCAACCTGTCCTGCTAAGGAAGATGCAGTTGGATTGGTCCTTCAAGACAAGATGAACCGCAGGGAACTTAATTGTTGAAAGGTAGCTCAGACAGCCATCTCGGCTTGATCAAAGGTACCACATGTTATCAAGAATAGCTGGAACTTAGTGTAATTTGGCCTAATTCCCTAATTTCCTACAGAGATTACGCAGTATAGCAAGAATAAATCGAGGGCTCTTATCATTGTAATTATCATTTTATTTTATTTTCCTCCTAGTCGAGTACATCGGAGCAGTTGGCAGCATGTGATAGCGGATCCGGATTAAGTAAACGACCAACTGGTTTTGATCGTTCATGGAGGGGCATCCAGTGACTGGTTAACTGGCAATTGTCCACCGAGTTAAGTAGTACGAAAGGGGTGATGCTCGTGCTAGCAACATTTTTCGTCATAGGTTACCTTTCCACCATCAATCAATCACTTCCTCCAAGGTCTGGAACTCGGAACGATGCTTGATGGCAAAGGAAGTTTTGACCGGGGTTTAACCCCTCTTCTTGCTTTCATGTCTACTCCGGACAGGGAAGGCAAACCGTAATGCAGGTAAAGTCTCAGCACAGAAAAAAAAAAGAAAAAAAAAAGAAAAAAAAAAAAAAAAAAAAAAAAAAAAAAAAAAAAAAAAAAAAAAAAAAAAAAAAAAAAAAAAAAAAAAAAAAAAAAAGGAAAGGAGAGAGAAAAAGGGCAAAGAGGGGGGAAAAAGACGAGGAGGACGACGTGGAGTCGACGCCATACCCAGCCCTCATGAAAGCCACCCGCATTTCTACTTGGAACTCGCAATGGGAGCCGCCGCCTGATAAGAACTGTTACAGTTGCGTTGTCAGAGTGGCAACCTTGTGGTTTCAGAAACACTTCGTTGAAGCACTTGAAGATCCATTGGGTGGTCTGTACAGTAAGATAACATTGGCGACCGAAAGTCTCGCGTTCTTGATGGTGGTGGTGATGATGATGATGATGATGATGATGATAATGATAATGATGGAATTCATCAATGGGGTGATGATTTGATAGCATGTGATTGTGGGTCTTTCCATCTCGCGGCTTTTCTTGTCAACCACGGACTTACTTTCATCACCACCACCCATCCATCTTCCCACAGTAGTACATCCTACACACCATGTTTCCCAGATTATGCTAAGCACCTCAATTTCATTTACCTCATGACATTGGAGTCAGGACGTTTGCACTTTTGTTCCCCATGTCTATTGCACGTGCAGTCGGCACCAGAATCTTCTTCCTAGGCAAACTGCCTGCACCCGGCCCCTCTTAGCGCCTTTCCGTATCAAAAGAGGGCGGCTACTGTCACAAGCTGGGAAACCGACCGCCAACTGGATACATATCAAACCGCATAGACACGATCCGCTCATGGTGGTGTATGGAGCACTCACTCGACTTACTCGCCGACCGATATTGATCCACAATCTCTCCAATTTGCGGACAATCTTCTCCGCTGAATCACTCGCATTCAGTTAAGTAACTTAAGTCAGTACAGTAATTCTCGCTGCGCCTGGACCCGAGGCTTGGATGGCGTTACCCAAGATTTCAACCGACTCCCTGCATGGTTGAGTGAAGGTCCTGCCCTTAGGACTGACTGCATTCTACTACAGTAGTTGGGTGCGCTTGGTGGTCTAGGCGTCATGGCGCCGAGCGTACTGGACTCCATGCCATGCATTAGATTCTCACCCGTCTCGAAAACGTCCAATTTAGTGCTTATTGGAGCTATGTCCCTCCCCTCCATCTCTCCTGTGTTGTCTTCGCGCCGCCTATCCGGCGTTCTGGGCTACGATGGCGATACTGTAGAGTTTGACCATGTCATCACTGACTTCTTGATAGGTCTAACCCGTCCGACCACCCAGTCTGGTTTGACATGTTAGCTCCGTGCTATTTTGGGCGTTAGAAAATACCTCCCATTCTGCACCCCTCTATGCAGCTTTCACGGAACGCCCACACTTTTCCCGCAAGCCCGGGAGGCGGATGTTGTAAGATCCTGCGTCTTTTGGCTCTACAACACCGCAGGTAGCCCGCAGAGGTCCAAGTCCCGCCTATCCGAATTTGAGCATTGAGTTCGTGGGGGCACAGCGGAGAACAACCGACAACTTCCAAATCGCGATTTAATATTCACGGGAATCTGTCACCGACCCTCGTACTTTCGTAAGGGATCTCGACAAGAGGCCCGAGAAAGCGGTAGCGATTGTACCTTAACATAGTTTGATAGTCCACCCCAAAGCATCGCGTAGAGGGGGTGAGTATTACGCCCCTCTACTATTTCTAAGGTCATACCTAACCCCTTATGCGCAAGATCAACATTGATTGTCTACTGTACAGCTACCGAGCAGGTCGCATGTAAGACGAGCTAGACGCCCATTAAAATCGCCGATGGCCAACGGTCAGGGGTCATTGGTCTCGGAAGAGCGTCATGGTCTGGGGTTGGGGAGTGAGGGGATTTACAGACAATTACTGTGGCCGATCGTGGGGGTGAATCCGTGTTAAGAGCTCCGCATTTACCCCAACATCGATCTCTACGAGCTGGGATTGGATTCAGCCTGGAGATTGTCGATTGCCTGGACTCTTGAGGTGAGGTGAGGGCGGGGCATGGGACGGCAAAGGAAAAAGCCGAGTACAATCTAGGCCCGACGAGTCCCAAGCAATCTCAATCCGACTGAATTATTCGAGGCTGTACGGTGAAAACTTGTAATGCTGTCATGAGCAAGAAGCAAAAGGCAAGGATCGATTGGCATCAGAAAGGAACGGTAGAATCGAGTTAAGAGTCGGCACAAATCTGGTGACTTCGGGTCGATGTCGTCCGACGCGGTGTAATTGGGGGAGTACTGTCATGGCAGCTAGATCGGGTCAATGACCAAGGAACCAAAGGCGATAGATACCACAGGCCGGAGAACAACTCGTAACAAAAAAAAAGAAATTGAATTTGTTCATATTTTCCATTTCATTTCGAGACGGACGCCAGATCTGAGTGGCTTCCCTCATGTAAATAAGAAAATGGGCCAAGTCCTGGACCTGTACATCGACGCGTTCCCATTCTTCCTCCAGCTATGGTATATTGCACGTTATCCCTAGCTCATGAACTGGACGTCTTCGATGCTTTTCTTTTTCCCTTTGCCTCATCTAAGACCTTGCGCGCTCAAACGACAAAACGCCCCAATTATCCCGTTTAGAAACCTGTAGAACCATCAGCCATGTCACCACAAAAAGCCGCAAGCGTCGGTGAACGGGGGGTGCAACGTACGCAGAGGAGTGAAGAACCAACGGTTCTTGCCGCTGGTGTAGCGGTCCTCGAGGGCCTTCTTGACGTTCTTCTTGGCGTCCTCACGCTGGGAGACCTCCTTGAAGGTGTCGTTGGAGACGGCACCCTTGAGACCCTCGAGCTCGAGAGTGTAACGGGTGGGCATCAAGTGGTTGTAGTTGACGACCTTGATGAAGGGCTTGATGCGGCTGCGCTTCTCGACGGTCTTCTTACCCATGCGGCGGGTGACCTTGAGGGGGTAGCGCTCGATACCGGCGACGATGGCGTAAGGGAAGGGGTGCGCCTTGGAGCCAGTGTCGTTAGGCTGGACAATGACGACCTGTCAAATCGCAAAAAGAGACCCTCGTCAGCATATATCCAGTGTGATTCCCAGCCGACCAGATATTCCTCGTTCTCGATGTCGCAGTTGTCGCCCTCGTCCGATCGTTCGACCATTTGCATCCATGCAGTCTTCCCACCGAATTCCCAACTCTTGCAATTCTTCCGTTGTCGCAGACGAGAAAATTTTCCACATCGGTTCCGTTGTCCTCCGTATATATGGGTATTCCAGCGCCAGAAAATCAAGTAGATTGTTGTCGTACCTTCTTACCGGCGTAACGGCCACGGGTGATGATGGCCACACGGCCCACTTTCATGACTATCGTAACATCCTGTCAGTTTTTCGATCGAAGACGCGATAACAAAATCGAGATGATGCGGCGATTCACTAACACTTCATTGTGAAGGTCCCGGTGAGCGGCAGGTCGATGGGGTGGTTGTCGAGATGCTTCGGTCGAGTGAGTGAGGTTCTCCGCGTTCGACGGTCTATTTTTTTTGAGTGAAGAGGGCTCAGGGCTTTGTGTGCCCGCACTCCATTGGTCACCTTACCGACTGATGGCTGCTAGGCTGTTCTGGGTAAGCGCTCCCAAAGTAGCCTAGCGCCCGAGACAGTTGGTTGCCGGCTCATGCCTCAGGCGGCAACTTTCGGATCTTTCAAGGTTCGATGCGATTGCGTCAGGCTATCAGGCCGCCAGAGCAAACTCAACAAACGTCACTCACCGCCTCCATCCCCAAATCCCCAGCCACCGCCAAAAAAGGCTTGGCCCATTGTTTACGGGACAACCAGCCAGGGCATCGGTTGCTATGAGGCTATCCTTGATGTGTACGCCGCACATTGGACCGAACGGCGGTTGATGCCCCATGAGCTACCAACTACTTCCAGCCTTCAAACTCCACTTCCATGGTCCAACTGCCCGCTATATTAACTGATCACCTCGGGAGTTTGATCCTTTCCCCCCCGAGTTTTGCCAATTTCGCCAGTTTCGCCAGTTTCGCATCTTGTCCGCGTTCGTCGCATTGCAGTTGTTGACGTTGTTGCTGTCGTTCCTTGCCGCCGTTGTTTCCCCAGTCCTCCCCGCCCTCGTGCCCTTTCATTGTAGCAAGCGCATTTGTCTTCAGTCCCCATTTTCCTATTTTTCCTGTCGTTCCTGCTTTCGTGATACCTGCTTTTCTGTGCGCTTCCTAGCCAGACACAATTGCCCATTTGCTCTTTCTTGCGCGATTTGACGACCTGCTATGCCTTCACGACCTTGACTTGCGGCGCATTTTTCATGATCATAGCTCCTTCTCACACATTGCGGATATCCATCCATCGATCCACTTTCCGCTCAGACATCGACAGACACACACGCCACCTGCTCCACCCCTCCCAGGAACAAGTGAAATTGAAAGTTCATCATGCCTTCACACAGTCGTGAGAATTCTCATGACCGAGAACTGGTGCTGAGACATCAGTCCGTGCCCATGTACGTGCCAACCCAGTGCCCTGAAGTGGGGGTCCCTGAAGATCCTCCAGTTTCATCTCAGAAAGCGATGGATGACTGACCTTGGATTCGTGGAAACGAAGGTGGGACAGTTCGGATCCCGAACGGGCACCCCCTCCGCTACCCATGAACCCCAGTTCTACCAGCCCTGTGACCAGATCGAATGTCTCCCCAGGCATTCAAGCCGCAGCGGCCAACTTCACAGAAAAGATCCGCGAAAATGCTCCTAGTCCATACACGACGAATCCCATGCCACCTAAATCACCAGAGAAGTCCCTTATCAAAGGCCAGTTCCATAAGCGTATGCAATCATTTCAAAATAACACAGATGCTCGGTCCGAGTTCCTCAATTACCTGGAGAACAGGTCGCCGGAGCGGCCCCAACGGGCGTCAACCTTCGAGCCAGGATCCAAGTCACTGGAGAAGTCAGCGTTGAATAAGACGCCCAGCTCGCCCGACTCCAGAGAACCTGATCGAGACATGCCTAACCTTCTCATTTCCAACCGGTATCTCTCCAGACCGATCCTCGGAGAGAGTACTCCACCGTCAGCAACCATGCTAGCACTGCAGAACATGCAATTGCCTCTGGAGAATGATCCACCGCAGAAGCTCATCGAGTCGGACCCATTTGTAGGGCCCAAGCGCCCTGATCCCTATTCCTTCGAGTCCTTGTCCACCCAGATTCACAGTCTCACGGATATCGCCAGCAATCTTCAGCGCGAGATGGCTCAGTTGAGCCGACGCAGTAAAGACAATGCCACTGACCTTGTGAGTCTCAAGGCCGCGACCAACGCCCGAGATGAAGACATACGAAAAAGCCTCCGTGATCTGTCATCTAGCTTGGCTTCGAAGTTCCTTGATTCTGAGGCTGCCACAAGGTGGGATTTCAGTTCTCTACTGGGTTCTGAGAATGGTATTAACAACAGGGAACCGGATAGTTCTCCAAACTCGAAAAAGAGCTACGCGGGACCGCGAATGTCTAGTCCTAATCCTTTCGCCGCAGCGATGGAACGCGAATTGTGCGGATCACCCACACCAATCTCCGATGGGTCTGCAAGTATCGCATTGCTGGAGAAAGTCCTGCGAGAAATGGCAACGAAAGAGAATCAGGACAAACTTTTGGAAGTCGCGGAAGAGATCAAAGCTAGGCCCATACCAGAGGCATCCGGTAACCCGACTGATGACGCTGTAACGACTATGCTGGAGGAGATTCTAAATCTCGTCAAGGACGATGCCCAAAGCAAAGCTTTGGTTCGCTCACACGCACGCGAGCTCGACGATGACGAACAGGCAGACATTCAAAACAGCCTGGCCCGTTCAAAATCCATGGGCGCAGAAGACATGAATGCCAATCCAGAGCGCGCTCTTGTCCCCGTGGAAGACCACCGCACGGAGGAGATGCTTGCTATAATGAAGATCGTAAAGAACAGTGTCATTGAAGGGGGCGGCATGACAAACCAAGTGAAAGCCCTAGTACGAGAATTGCGTGGAGAGGTTCTAGGGATGGGTAGAAACTTGGCCCGCCAGATTGAAGAAGCCGAATCCTCTCGAGCTATTGAAGACAAACCTAGCGGTCTCCAGAAGGAGGAGATTGCTGCAATCATTGAAAATAGCCTGCACGACCTCAAAGGACAGCTAGCGTCGATCATCGAAGACAGCAAGCTCCATGCCTCATCGCTCTCTGACTTCCGAGCTAACGTGAACGATGAACAAATCTACTCCATCGTCAAGCAAGCTCTGGACGAGCTAGACTTCTCGCAACTACGGCCCGAGCCTCAAGGGCCCGTATTGGAACGGGACGATATCCTCGAGACAGTGAGAGAAGCGTGGGAATCGTACAAGCCCGAAATCGAACTGCAGAACTTTGGCTTGGAGCGTGACGAAATCCTTGAGTGCCTCTCAGAGGGTCTGAAGGATTACAGGCCGCAGCACGAGGAGGCTGTTACCTACGACCAGGTGCTCACAGCTGTTCAAGCTGGTATGCAGAGCTTCGAACAACCGCCAAGCATCACGAAAGAGGAAATCGTACAAACGATTCATGATTGCCTTGCAAACTTTGAGCTTCCGGCTCCTCCAGCCCTCGGACCCGAGCACCTTGATGGGATTCGTGAAGAGATACTGCAGGCAGTTAGCGAATCGGTTACGTCTCAGAGTGCCTTGACTAGAGAGTCTCTTGACTCAGGGCTCGGCCGCGATGAAATCTTAAGTGCCTTGTCAGAGGGCCTAGAGGCGCATTTCGCTTCAACCAAGGCTACAGAGCACCCCCACATTACCAAAGAAGATGTGGCCGAGGTGTTCAACGAAGCATTTGCTGCCCAACAATCTGCCCTCAGCACTAGCGTTCAGCCGAGTATCTCACGCGACGAGATTCTCAATGCCATTGCAGAAGGAATGGAAAGCCAGAATGCCGTCACTCGTGAAATAGAACTCAACCGAGACGACCTAATGGAAGCTATCTCCGCCGGCTTACAAGAAGCGAATGCTGCGAACCAGAATTCTGGCGATCAGATGCTCGAACAACTTCAAGAGCACCTCGATGGCATGAAGGAGGAACTGAGCCACCACCTTTCGACGAACGAGAAAGACAGCGAGCAACTACTTAATGCTATCAAAGATGGCATTGCTGTTGTGCGACAGGAGGTAGAGGGATACGCTGCAACTGCAGCGGAGTCTTCTGCGAAGCACGAGATCATGGACACAGTCAAAGAAGGGTTCCGACTGTTGCAGGCTGATATGGAGAAGACCATAACAGAGACCGCTCTCTCTAACAGTTCTCGCGGCAATCCTGATACTCCCGAGCTTCTCGACGCCATGGAGAAGGAGTTTGAACACCTCCGACAGACCATGAGCAATCTTCTTATTCGTAGCAACGTGTCCACCGAGAAGGATGAGATCCTAGATGCCATTCGTGACATTTCTGACCAGCAGAAGTCGTCGAGCAATGATGAAATCACCAAAATAATCAAGGAGCAGATTGAAGAGCTTCGTGACACCATGAATATGAGCCTTGTTCGCGCCGAGCCGACGGAGACAGCAGAGCCCACCGAGAAGCATAGCGACAAAGAGGATATAATCGCCGCGCTGCGTGAGAGTCTCGACACTTTCCGCGAGGAGAATAATCAGCCCAAGGATGCGGGTGACAATCTGCTTGCGGCCACTAGCGAAATTATTGATACAGTCAACAACGGTTTTGGTACAATCAAAGAAGATCTCGCAAAACTCTTGGAGAGGCCGGTGGAGTTCGATCATTCCGAGCTTCTAGACACTCTGAAGGAGGGCCTCAGCAGCCTCAAAGCGGACGTTGAGATGCTGCGCCAGTCTCATACGGAGAGTCATGTAGAGAATGACGAGCCAGAAACAACTCGCGGTGGGGAATTGATGCTAGCAAACGCCCCAAGCGAGCCCGCCAATCCCGCTATGAATAACGACTTTGAGGCATTGAAAACCTTAATTTCACAACTTCAGACCAAGGTTGAGGCTATTGAAGGTGCCCCTAGAAGCAGCGAGCTTCCTGAAGACATTGTCAAGAAGGAGCATCTGGATGAAGTCCTTCTTGGTCTGCACGAGCTTCAGAGCGCTGTAACAGGAATCGTTGCTCGTGACCAACCTGCGGACGAGACGACGGCCAAGAAGGAAGACACGGACGCTATAGAGACATTGCTCCGCAACACCAAGTCTCAGCTAGATGAGATGAAGTTTCCGGCCGCAGATGAGATTGCCAAGGCAGAGCAACTGCAAAGCTTGGAAGCGATCGTCGCAGAGACGAAAGAAGCCATTTCCGAGCTTTCCACGCGCATTGAATCGGAAGGCCCCACAAAAGCCGAGATTGGGACGCTTGAAACGCTCATGAAGGACATGTGGATTGCCCTTGATGAGCTGAAGGGCAAAGCAGAGCCCGAAGATGAAAACGCCGAGAAATTGGTCAAGGCAGACTTGCAGACTG